TTATTCCCTTGCCAAAGGGATGGGCTGACCAAAGCTTGTAAAAAAAACTTACCCGCGGGAATAATACCCAAGGGTACCAAAAATAGTACCCAAGGGATGGGCTGACTGAAACCCATGAAATTTACAATTAGTATATTGGATTTTCAAAAGAAAAATCTAGTTTTACATCACTAAGAGTTATTGACCATGGGTTTGAATCCAGGCCCTTCTAGAACAGAACCTTAATTTGGTATCTGTATTAATTCCATCATTAGAAAGATTGCCCAAGGGAGGAGTACCCAAGGGAATGGTACCCACGGGAACATTAGCCAAGGGAAGGGTACCCACGGGAACATTACCCAAGAGAACATTACCCAAGGGCAAAGTACCCATGAGAACATTACCTAAGGGAAGAGTATCCAAGGGAAGAGTACTATATATATATATATATATATATATCTACTGTTCATGTGAACAGTAACCCACGGGCACTATTCCCCAAGACAAAAAAAAAAAGAAGAAAAAATTCACATTCCCAAAGCTAGACGAGCAAGCTTGGGAATGGGGGGCAACTGATAGGGAAAAATAAACCTAACCTACCTTGACCTAACGGTAGAGGTAACTAAGTGTTGACCAGCCGCTAGATCTCTTCGACTTTCGAACAATGATATTTCCAATGGATAAGAATGATGATATTTCATTATCAAGGATAATGAAGATAATGAAATATCATCATTCTTATCCAATGGAAATAAAGGATAATGAAATATGACGTGGTTTAACAGGGTAAGGATAACTTTGGCACAATTTGAGGAAGTTAAAAGGGTTAAATCATATCCCCGACAAATCTGGCAGCAAATGGATCTTTTCTGATCTTGCATAAGCGGATCTCCTCTGATCTCGCACAATCGGATCTCTTCTGATCCCGCAAATGAACTAAGGGAGAGCAACTATAAGAATGAGATCCTACCAGTCAATAAAGGTACGACAAAAAACTATTATTAAATCCCTGCCTTTCTTTTAGACCTCCGGTGACTGACTTGATCGTCGGAGAGCTCTTGGCAGGCACCACACCGGTGCCGTCAAGATTCATCGATCTTCTACTCTCTTTTTTGTAGGAAAATGGTGTCGTATCGGACCGCATGGATTTCACCCTCAACACATATATTTTGAAAATTAGGGGTATTACAATTATTGACATGCTTGGTGATTTGATTCATATCGGCGAGTCTTTTGTAATCACTTTGGTGAGGTGATTGGTTTGAGGTCGTTTCAAGCTGACGCTTGGCGCACACTTTCTTATTTTTTGAGGATATGGTAGTAGGATGGATGATTGTACTTATTCCGTCTCTTTTGTGTGACATCACGATTTAGGGTGTCGTCTTTTGAGGCTTGATGTTGTGTCCTAGGTATGTTGACTCGTATTTATGTTCTAGTTTGGTTTTCCTTGGGGATGTACCCTGATTTTGGGGACGAAATCCCTTTAAGGTGGGTAGGTTGTGAGGACTTGTCACTTTTTCATTTTTTGAAATTTTCTTTTTCTGTTTATTTTTTTGGATCAGGTCTGATCGGACCGGATCGAGTCAAGTGCTTGGGAATAGTTCTCGACACTTCTTTTATTTCATACTTGTGTGTTTGACCCTCGTGTCAAATCGGATTTGTGTTGTACTTGTTTATACTTTACCTTTTGGTGCTTAGGGGTGCGATTTCATTTGGTTGACATTTATATTTTCAAGGTCTTGGAGATATTTTTATTTTGGGGTTTTAGTGTAATTATATTTTAGAGATATTTTTATTTTGGAATTTTAGTGCGATTATCTGTTAGAGAACCCTAAAATTTCATTAGTATATAATTGTAATATGGAAAAATTCCTAGTATTTAGTGTTAATTTTTTTTTTTTTTTTTTTTTTAAGGGGGGCAATTTAAGTCCATCCCTGAATATATATATATGTGTGTGCTATGTAAACTGCAATAGACTGAGAATTGAAGAGAGAGGGGGAGGTAGGGAGAAAGATGGAGAGTAGAGGTGGTGGTGGTGGTGGCAGCAGCGGATGGAGGGATTAGGGTTGGCTATGAAGATTTGCTTGGAAGAGAATTTTTTTTTAGTTGGGTTTAAGTTACCGTTTAACCCAATGGGTCTACTTATTTTTATTTTTCATATTATATAATTTTTTTACTACACATATTATCTTTTTATTGGACCACTTCATGTAACAAAAGGAAGATCATTCTTATAGGGTAGGAGGCAAATATTGTCCTTAAAAAAATAGTATTTTCCTGTAAATATTGGTGGACTAAAAAAATTTATATTGAGGCGGTCAAAATAATAGTAAAAAATTAATTAAACCCTCACCATCCACTTTGGAAGTATAAGAGATATCACTGGGGTACAAGTAATTTTTAGTAAAAAATTATTACACATATTCATTTTTGTATACAATAAAATTTTCAGAAATATTTATTTTCAATTTGATGAATTATCTTTATACCTTGTGTTCCAAAATAATCCTTTATTGCAGTCTTTATTAAGATAAAAAAAAGGATGTTTGGAAGATTTTTTTTTTTTAATAAAGTAAAAACATTTCATAACTTGTTGAGTGCATAACATAAGAAGAGAAATAAGTGTACGTATTATAGTTGAAATTTTATCCATTTCCTTCAAATGTAAATGTTTATATAAAAGATCTCGTATTATTTTATGATTCCCTAATTATAGGAGGATTTTATTTTATTTTTTAGAAAAAGAATTTTAATTTTTTTTGGAAGGGGATACAAAATAAATATTTTTACTATTTTATAAGTTAGTATTTTTAAGAGGCTCATTTCACAGGGATTTTGATTTATTTTTAGGGATTTTAAAGAAAAGATTAATCTCTCAAATAAATACATGTGAAAAATATAGCAATTAAAATGTGAAATTATTGACTTAATATTCAATATAGTCGTTCTCAAATACAATACTTTTTTTCCTAGTTCAAACACAATATAAGAAAATCATTATTGGATTCCAACTTATTATAAAAAAAATTTAAGTTTTGAACATTTTAAAGAAATTTTTTCGAAAATTGCTCTGTGCATTGGAATGGGGAGGATTACAAATATTCGGTGGTGGATTATATAATACTATATAAGATCCAACATCAATACCATTAAAAAAAAAAAGATAAAATGTTTTGAAACCTTAAATCAATTTATTATATATTTTTGTTTGTGATAACCATTATTACAAATAACAACTTACATGAGCAAGATTTGTTGCCATCAAGGTAACATGCCATTCCATTAAACATAAAACTTCCTATATATATATATATATATATAATGATATGTGTACTATATTTTATTCCGATAAATAAATTGTTCCTATCAAGACTTAAATCTTCAACCCAAAAGATAGAGACTAATGTAAAATTATACACAACTTTATTTATTTAAAAAAGGAAAAGAAAAAAAGAAAATGATATTGTACCATATATAATTTATAAATCCCTCGATTTCCTCCATCACATATTAATAATATATTTTTCTATTTTAGAGTCTTTCAAATTAGTTGTTCATAGGTGGGAGTGGTAAAAGTCAAAAAGGGCCTTAGTGCCCTCCACTCATTTTTTTTTTTTTTTGACCCAGAACTCCATGAAACAAGGTCCCTTAGGGACCCCACCTCATGGCGCCAAACTGAGGGTAATGTAATATAGTCCTATAGTCACACACCAGATGAGTTGAGAACATAGGAGGCTTGGGAGGTTCAAACACTGGCCTGATGAGTTCAAGCGCCGAGTTCCTACCATCACTGCTATGCCCCCGGGGGCTATCTTTTTTATACTTAAGAATGATTCTCTAACCATTCTTAGGTAAAAAAAAAAAAAAAAAAAATTAAAGAATTAGTTATCCATTTTAAAAAGTCAAACAAATTAAATGTAATATTTTTACGAGGGATGTGATATTCGTACTTTACTTTTTTACGTTTGCATTAGAATCTCAAATGAAATGACAATTATAATAAACTTAACTTTACAAGTAAATTATTATTACTTTTTAAATAACACAATTATCCTTTCAAATTTCCTCACCTTATCTCTAATTTTTAATATTTTAAGTTTTTTTTTTGACAAGACAAAAAAAAAAAAAAAATATGTTGAATAAATTGCCTCTTTTGACCAGAACAAAAAAAAAAAGAAAAAAAGTAACAATTAAAAAAATCCCCCCCTCCCCCCCCAAAAAACGAAAAAAAGAAGTACCAAAAAAAAAAAAAAAAAAGAGGATTAAAAAAAAAAATTATCTATTGAATTAATTATTTCATTTGATAAGACAAACACTCACTCACACACACACACACACACACAAAAAAAAAAATTCTATTTGGATAAATTATTTATTTTGATTGACCCATTTGACAATACTAAAAAAAAGTTAACTTTGTTGAATAAAATTATCTGTTTTGATTATTAAAAAAAACACTATTATTGAATAGATTATTTCTTTTGATTACCAAAAATAAAATTATCAATATGGAATTAATTTTCTTCTTTGAAAGGACATCCCCAAAATAAATAAATAAATAAATAAATAAAGGAAGTAAAGAAGGTAAAAGAAAATTTCAAGTTATATAAAGGATAATTATGATATTATAAAATAAGAGATAATACATTAATTAATGAAATGGCCTTCTTGTCATTTTTTTTAAAAGAAAAAAGGTAAGTGTACTGCAAATATTGCCTTTCTTTTTATAATTATGTTTATAACTTTTTAAAAATATTTCAACTTAATATTTTAGCAATTTGATAATTTAAAAAGGAAATAATATATTAATTGTATGTTTTCTTGTCGTGTGTAACCGTGCAAAATTATAATTATAATGCATTTCAATAATTTTTAAAAAGTGAGAGTGAAAACACGCGCCAAAAATACGAGTAGCATGAAGAGTGAGTGAGGTTAAAAAGTAACTCTAAACTTAACCATGGTAAAAAAAAACATTAAGTGGGAGTGTTTTGGGGTTTGACCGGAGAGTACTGGGGTCTATCATCTATGGCCTTGTTCGGCGCGGCAGTCAGACTCTTGGAGGCGGAAAAGAGGAGAGAGACTGCGCCTACTTTGAGTGCGTGTGGGCTGGGATCATTGGGTGTTCACTTCCTCTTCTCACTACTCTACTACACCTCCTCTCTCTATCTCTGTCTAAAATTCTCTCTCTACGATCCCTTCCCATCACCATCATCGTAATCATCCCATCATGATGATCGTCCTCTCTCTCCTTGTCCCCCTTGTATCTTGCTCTTGGTGGAAATAAACACATAACAGAATCTCTTTTACGCTCTTGTAGATCCAACTCATCATCTCCATCTCTCTCGTGCTTGGTAAGCTACTCTCTGTTCCTCTATCTTTCTACTTTCATTTTTATTGTTAAAATTCTAATATGCGTTTATATATAGGTATTGGATTCTTCATTTTTGTGATCAATTCCATCTTTTGATTTCTATTGCTCCCCTGGGTCAGTACATTCTAAGTTGGCCTTATATATTGTGGTTATAGAGTTCCCTTGTTTCCAATCTTCCCTAATTCTGGTCCTTGTGCAAAATAGTTTTTGTTGTTTTGTGTTTTTCTGAATTGGGTTTTGTTCAGTTCTAGTATTTGGTATTTCTCTCTCTTTTTCTTTGTTTACTTGTATTTTCTGATGATGGGGTATTTGTCATTTCTTTTTTGGGTATGACAAGCATGTTTCTTAATTTATTGGATTTGATTTTCTTGATTTGCAGTTTGGTATAAATGCATTGGATTTTCAGTAGTGGTCAGAATTGGTACCGTGTTAATTCTGATAGAATATAAAGTTGAATCTTTGAGGTCAAAGTGGTACTTTTGAATTCCCAGCTTTGTGCTAGATCATTCTTGTCATTAACTGATTGCGGCGGCTTTGGTTTGCTAGTGATAACTTGGGTCCGAGCTCCTGAATCTTCAAATAAATGGTTTTGTTTGGCAAGCTTGAGACAAACTGTACTGTAATCGCGGTATAATTGCGTCTAATCAATACAATGGGTGGGTTTTGTTCGAGGAGATCAACTGAAGATGGTTCATCCGGGGGAAACCTTTCACATGTTAATGGTCATTTTAATTATAGTTCTGGAATGGTTTATCAGGCCGCGCAAGCGAATAACAATTCGATGCCATCACCAGTTGGGGAAAGCATGGGTAAACAATTAAGAGAACCCTTTTCATTTCCGGAGATGAACCCCATCTCGAATGGGATAAATCCTGATGATGTAAATGATGGGATTCCTCGCTTGTCTAGGGCTTTATCAAATAAATCTAGATCAACAAAGTCTAAGCAGGCTGCTGTTGCAAAGGTATGTCATATCTAGATAGGTTCTGGAAGTGTTATTTCGTTTCTTTTTGCTTCCACTTTTTTGGATTATATTTGCATGAAGGGTTACTGAACTTTTGTGGTGGCAATGCTTGTTCTCTGTAGCATAGACACTTCCTTTAATGGAACCCAGTATGGAAATCAGAACCATCATCCTTCAAAATGAAGTAATGAAAAACGATAAAACATCAACCAGTGAAGTTAATTTTTCTTAAAAAAATGCCTACAAGTTTTCAATTGTTGATTATGTATCATATATTAGGATGCCATGAAAAATGGAAAACGCACGCCTCATATCCACATTATTTGTAAATCTCTGGGGTAAATTAGTTCTGGACTTGGCACTTATATTTCATTTTCTTTTTAGAAAAGGTGTTAATGTTAGGAGCATTTTATATTTTCCAAAGCACCACAAAGTTATTCCAAACATTGGGTTAGAAGCATAACTGATGGAGGAGGTCTAGCACAAGTGATAAATGGCAGCTGGCTAGCCATAGTTTTCCCCATTTGGGTATTTCAATTTGGCACCCCCCTTTCCTTGAATGTTTACATGCATTATTTGATTTAAGAGTTAAGTGAGAGTTTGCGGGAAAAAAAACAAAGAAAGAATAAATGTCCTTTTCAATATAAAGCTTTACACACATAACAATGTGGTCAAGGACCAACATTTCTATTGTGTGTGTGGGGGGGGTGGGGGCAGGGGGCAACATTAAATTTCCATAGGTATATATTTCAAAAAAGGAAAAATTACTATTATATAAAACTAAAAAAAAAATTCAGTGGGGGCAATTCTATGTACATTAGATCCGTCTCTGAACGTGGACAAATTCCTAAAGCAGAATGCTATAGACTGGATCATCTTACCTCCTTTTGGTTGTCACTGCACCTTTGGCATCAGAAGCAGGGCCCTAAACTGCATCGAAGGTTCTGTAATAAGTATAGATTTCAAGAGCAAGTGCTCTTTCAGTAATGTATAATTTTTATTTGTTTTTTCCGGTTTACCTGTATTGCACAGGATTTCCAAATGAATACTGTCATGATTGGAGGACAAGTTAGTAACTAAGGAAACTTCTAATACTTCTGAAACTGATCCAAAAGTGAAGTTTGGATGGAAGAGTATATTTACTACATGCAGGATTCTACTATTTAGTCTAGAAAAGAGCTAAAGTACTTCCTTTACCATGGGCTTATGCTTCCTTGAGTTCAGAGTCATTTCACTCCCACTATTATTAGAGAAAGGAAGTGTTGCATTACTTCCTTTGTTAAAATCAACTATTTTTGTAGTTCAATGATGAAATTCTACCAAATTATGGTATTTAAGTTACAATTTTGACAACTTAGGAACTATTGCAGATTGTGGCGAATGTATGTGTGGAGGTCATGATGACCTATGTACCAGTGTTGAGTGAGGATATGTGTCTAAGCATTAGATGGATCAGATCCCTGAATAGAATAGAAGAACACAGAGACACAGCTTAATATTTATATATATATATATTTATATATTTTCTTTTATTTTCTTGAGTAAAATGATTTTTTGATATAACAGTGTTCAAAGCAGGCATTTCACCCATTTTAAAGCAGTAATAATGTAATAAAATTGAATGTGTTTTTTAAGCATATGTCCAACAGAGCATGTTGGATACATATCTGATACCTATATTCGGGTATTATGGGTTCGACATGAGTACTTCACATACTTTTGAAGAGTCCATCTAACATAGATGATGACGGTACCATTTCTGTTTTTCCATGCCTAGCTAAGGTAAGAGCCTAGGAATGTAGATTGAAGAATTCATATCAACTTGTCGTTGAAGAATATTGGTTATTTGGCCCTTTTTTCATTGCCTTTACTATGAGTTGGTGGACCTATCATCTTTTGTGCCGTGCTCTTTTCATGGAATTCTTAGATCAAATAACTTTGAGGTTGGCATTTTGTCAAAAAGAGTCCCCCCACCTAAGGAAAACCGAATGACATCGTCAATAAGTGCATCGGTGGCATGTTGGTGAAGCCTTAGGTTGAGATTCCAAGGTGTTGAAAAATAGGAAAACTGAATGACATTGTTGTTGAGGAAAATAAGAAATAGGAAGGAAATTATTTGAAATATTTACCAAATTCTACTCAAATCAAACATCTTTGTATTTATGCAGACAAATAAATATGATGGTGTATCTTAGTTTCTGGTATTACCTTTTGGTATTCCTTTATCCTCAGCAGATTTTTTTTTTTTTTTGGACAAGTAAAGATTGTATAAAGAAGCGTTCAAAAGGGGAACACATCCCTTAGAAAATACACAAGGCCTAATAGGGCCTCTAAACTCTTAGAGAGTCCAAAAATCAACTATCTCCTCCATGAATTTACAATATCTCCCTATAACCCAACAAAAAAGAGTGCTAATAATAGAGAATTTGAACTCCCCCACAGGAGTCTCCTTTCCTTCGAAGGGCCTCCTATTTCTTCCAAGCCATAAACACCACCAAATGCAAAGAGGCGTAACCCTCCAAAAATCACGGACCTGGGCCTCCACTATACAACCTCGCTAAGCCTCAATCAAATTTTTGGGGGATCTAGCCATAACCCACTGAACCCCAAACAAACTCAACAGTAAGACCCAGCAATAATAATAGAGAATTTTGTGACGGTAGGCGTGTCCGCTTTTGGGAGGATTTATGGTATGGAGATTAGTTGTTGTCTTATTCCTTTCCTAGACTTTATAGTATTGCCGAAAATAGGCACGCCTGTGTAGCTGATACGCAGGCTGTTATCGGCTTGATAGTAGTGGGGTTACGTGGGAAGTGCATTTTAGGCGTTCTTTTCAGGATTGGGAGATGGACGAGGTATGTGGTTTTTTTGATCTGTTGTATCAGCAAAAGGATGTTGGCAAAGGCAGTGATGACATTTTGTGGGCCCCTTCCACTCATGGTAGATTTGGTGTTTGAAGGTCTTCATGATTGATCATAAATGGATGTAATCCGGCATGCTTCACATTGATGTGAATGACAAACCGAGGGATATTGCTTCATATTGCTATCCAGCGCCTTTTCTGTGTCTAAAAACGTCATTGCCATTTACTTTGAGGCACTGCCACACTGCACATATCTGTTCTCCTTTACGTGCTTGCCAGTCTCTGTTTTTGTTCGCTTTATGTGCATAAATCTCTCACATAATTTGCCATGCATGTTGTTAATATAATTTTAAATTATACTTTCTGCTTTTTTTTTTATTTTTTTTATAATTTTTTTTGGTTGAATATTTACTTTATGTTTTTATTTTATTTTATTTTATTATGTGCATTTTCTCAATATTTATTTGAAAGTGATGTTATCTATTTAACAAAATCAAGATCATTGCCATTTTTGTATATTGATGTAGCCAATTAGCTTTTGATTTGTTTTTCCCTCTATCACAGGTTTCAGAAGTGAGTTCACTTTTGGGCAGAGCAGGTACTGCTGGGCTAGGGAAGGCAGTAGATGTTTTGGATACACTTGGTAGTAGCATGACCAATTTGAACCTTAGTGGTGGTTTTGTGTCGGGGGTGACAACAAAGGGAAACAAAATTTCAATTTTGGCTTTTGAAGTTGCGAACACAGTTGTTAAGGGTGCCAATCTTATGCAATCCCTTTCTAAAGAGAGCATTGGTCATTTGAAAGAGGTAGTGCTTCCCTCAGAAGGAGTGCAACGTTTAATATCGAAAGATGTAAATGAACTCCTGAGAATTGCTGCTGCTGACAAGAGGTGGATATAGCAGAAACAGCTGGATAGCTTTAATTATATATATATATACTTAATATGCTTAAAGTTTCAATTGCTATTTGAAGACATAGAAAATCATTTGACTTTAAAATTTTAACAGGGATGAACTAAAAGTATTTTCTGGAGAAGTGGTACGATTCGGAAATCGTTGTAAAGATCCTCAATGGCACAACTTGGACCGTTACTTTGAGAAGTATATCTAACGGCATAATCTATTTGGTTTTATTTATTCTTTTAAGTTCTCACGTTGACACTAGTGCTTTTATGGTTTTTAGGTTGGGATCAGAACTTATACCCCAAAACCAATTGAAAGAAGAAGCAGAAACCATAATGCAGCAATTGATGACTATGGTTCAGTATACTGCTGTGAGTATTTCCTAACCTTGTACTGAGGGAGCAGCTCCTTTACGGTGCAGTCCTGCATTTCAATAGTTATTTATTTATTTATTTATATTTTTTTATTCCATTAAATGAGCACCTTGAAGAAATCTTTTAAGGAGAGAATGGAACAGAGAAAAAAGATGGAGAACCAATGGAATGAGGGAGGATGCTAATAGAAAGAAAGCTCTTCTTGCAAGCTAGAAGAGAGAACCAACCCAAACCAACCCCAAACCACCACAAGACCTTAAGGAGCTCTCCTGTTCCCCTTAGGGTATTTGTATTGGCATGACAAGACATGGGTAGAGGGGTATGGTTGTGGGCCTTGTGACATGTGTCACGTGTCTGATACACAAACTATATTGGACGCCCCAACCTCTTTGTGTGATGATAGAAGTAGAAAAAGCTCAAATTTGATAAGTAGATGAGGGTTTCTTTTCACATGGAGAGATATCTTTTTGCACCATATTCCATTAAACCAAAATTCTGATGAGGTACATCCTTACCTAAAGACACTATTATATGGCATATAATGCATTCTAATGTGTGCAAGACGTATCAACGCATACAACGTATTAATGCATTCATATCCGGCTTTTGGATACATTTTAAGCAAGTCATTGTATTTGGGGTTCAGGAAAGTATGACACTTACCCAGGCAACTGCACTTGATATTTGTATGTGAGTCACCTATTCTACGTAAAATAGATGACTTCAAATAAAATTTTGTCTGAAGGATGGAGATTTTAAAAATTTTGCTTGGATAGATTACTGAACAACCAAAGATAATTTGGAAGGTTGTTATCGCAAGGCAAGGATTGAAGACAATGTGGATGTCGTTGGTGAGAAAAGATCACACTAGATTCCACCAAACCAAAGGCCACTACGCATGTCTATAGTTGTTAAAGACATGCCTAGTCTAACGGGGTAGATGCTTGCCATCTGACCCAAAAGTTTAAGTTGTTGAGTAGTGCTATATACCCACTCATATATGCCTAAATTCATTCCGTTCAGATGCGACGTGGGACAAGAACCCTCTAACATTCTCCTCCATCCGAACTCGTAATGCCCTCGTTGTTGTTGATGCACCCTGCCTACTCGTCCCCTTCTGATGGCGGGAGGACCCAATACTCGGACTCGGACCTGGACTCCACCTGGGTGGATGCTTGGCGTGACACTGGATCAAGGATGGGGCCGGTTCTATTATCACTTGTAATGGGCCAAGGCTTGTCACATGACTTAAAAGCTTAAGCTATTGGGTAGTGCTGCATACCCACCCATAAATGCCTAAGATTCCATCCGGATCCGATGTGGGACAAGAATCGTCTAACTCTAGGCTTTAAAAAGCCCCACGCTTGTCAAGGCTCAGCTAAGAGCGCCTCAATCAGTTAGATCCACAGAGCCCCGAGGCTCGCACTTTTTTGTAGGCTCCGTGCTAAAAAAGCATGCTTTTATTTTTTTATCGTTTATTCATCTTATTAAATTATATATTGTGTCATATCATAGTCATATTTAATAGGATAAATTACACTGACCACGCTGAAGTTTGGGAAATTACACACGGATAGAGCGTTCATCATTTATTACTTTGACGTCCACTAAGGTTTGGCACGTTTGCTCAACGACTTCATGAAATGACAATAATAGTTTTAGGTGTTGCCATAAAATGACAATAAGCCCACTAATACATAGACAAAAATGCCCTTGATATATATTACACTGTATATATGTATATTTATATTGAGTTAGGTGTAATGACTCTATTAATCATATTAAGCTAAATATTTTAATTGAAAATTTATGTATTTATTGGGTTAACTTATGTGTAATGACCCTATTAATTATATCAAACAAAATATTTTAATTGAAATTTTTTTTACTAATTACATTTTATCAAGTTTTTTCATTGAAAGACCCGGAAAAAGTTACCTCTTGTTCTCTGTTCCCACTGTCACTGTCTACAGCCAGCAACACCTACTTCTCCCACCGTCTCTGTGTTTATGCGTGGTCTCTTGATTTTTTTCCCTTACTGGGTCGATCTAATGGGTTTTCTACAGAAGAGGGATATTATATATATATATATATAAGTATCCAACAGAACACTTCCATTAACAAACAAAACCCAGAACACCCAAAAAAGGAAAAAAAATTAAAACCTATTAACATATCACGATATGTATATATATATATATTGATCAATTGATTGGGCAAAAATAAAAAAATAACGGAAACCCTAGAAATCCCCGATCGGGTCGAGTGGGAAGAGAGAAGAGTTAGATGGTTCAGAACTGAGAGTAGAGAAGGGGGAAATCGACTACCCGATGGCGAACTGAAGAAATAGAAGATAGGGAAGGATAGTGGGAGCTTGCCTGATTTGCTGATGATGTGAGTGTATGAATTTCTTGGGACAACAAACAGTGATGGTTGTCGGCCATTGATAGGAGAGAGAATACAGGTGGTCATGGTGGATGGTCGGAGGAGATACAGTGGTGGAGGAGGAAAAAAAATTAAAACAAAACCCAGAACACCCAAAAAAGGAAAATAATTAAAACCTATTAACATACCACAATATATATATATATATATATATATATATATATATATATATATATATTAGTAATTGTGCATCCCCACTTTCATAATAGAAAATGGCCACAATTATTCCTTCCTTCCAAAAAAAATTGTTTAAGAGATATGAAATGCTATTTTTAGAGTTATGCTATGGTTGATCAATTGATTGGGCAAAAATAAAAAAATAACGGAAACCCTAGAAATCCCCGATCGGGTTGAGTGGGGAGAGAGAATAGTTGGGAGGAGAACTCTGATGGTTCAGAACTGAGAGTAGAGAAGGGAGAAATCGACTACCCGATGGCGAACTGAAGAAATAGAAGATAGGGAAGGAGAGTGGGAGCTGGCCTGATTTGCTGATGATGTGAGTATATGAATTTCTTGGGATAACGAACAGTGATGGTTGTCGGCCATTGATAGGAGAGAGTATATAGGTGGTCATGGTGGATGGTCGGAGGAGATACAGTGGTGGAGGAGGTGCAGCAGTGGAGAGAACGCAGAGACGGAGGAGAGAGAAGAGGGGGAATTAGGAATTTGGGAATGATTATTAATGATTGATGATTAGTGAGTAATACAACAATATAAGAATCACTAGTAATGCATATTTGATCTGTACAATAGATCTTTGTAATACATATAAATATGCGCACATATACATATATGTATATTATACGTAGAAAATGATATATAATTCATGTTGGATCTGAGAGTTCCTGATCTGTGTGCTCACCAGCAGCCACCGATAGAGAGTTTCTGATCTGTTTGTCCAATAGATCTCTGGTCCAATTCCGGAGATTCTTGTTCTGGCCATGTAAGGACTCGCTCAGGTAAATATATATATATATATAGAGAGAGAGAGGATGATGGTTTAGAGAGGGAGAAGGATATTGATGAGCGTCTCTTTTTCTCATGTGCTCTGACGGTGCACGTTTGCAGGGTAGAGAGAGATTATTATTTCGCTCGGGAGAGATATTAATGAATCTGTTTCTAACACTTGAATCCTTTTAAACATGTATGGGCATAAAAGTCTTTTTAGTTTACGAGATATTTGCAATATTATATATTTATTATAATATTGACTTTTTTACACTCAAACTTACTTTCCGGCAACCGGTCAACGGAATTAGGGGAGGTCAAAATAATAAACGTTGAACGGTCTATCTGTGTATAATTTGTCCATTGTAGTTTACCCAATTTAATATGATCATATTGTTCAACCTTATGAAATCGTTGATAGAATTCATAAATTTTATAGTTTACTACTTACATCGATTGCATTTAGTGTTTGATTCTGAATTTTTATGATAATATTTGCTTAAAGTTTGCATGATTATGTTTTTGTATTGCTTCACTTTTAATTTGGTTAATGCATGTGCATATGAAAGGATTTATGTGCATTAATTTACTTGATCCTCTTAGTTGATGTATCAATTTGCATGTGAAATCATTTAAATCAATGTACAATTGAAGATATGAACACAACTACAATTGAAGATATGAACACAACTAATCAAAAAAATTCTAAAAATGGCACTTTTGATACATCAACTAAGAGGATCAAGTAAATTAATGCACATAAATCCTTTCATATGCATGTATCAATTTGCATGTGAAATCATTTAAATCAATGTACAATTGAAGATATGAACACAACTAATCAAAAAAATTCTAAAAATGGCACTTTTGATACATGCATATGAAAGGATTTATGTGCATTAATTTACTTGATCCTCTTAGTTGATGTATCAAAAGTGCCATTTTTAGAATTTTTTTGATTAGTTGTGTTCATATCTTCAATTGTACATTGATTTAAATGATTTCACATGCAAATTGATACATGCATATGAAAGGATTTATGTGCATTAATTTCCTTGGTCCTCTTAGTTGATGTATCAAAAGTGCCATTTTTAGAATTTTTTTGATTAGTTGTGTTCATATCTTCAATTGTACATTGATTTAAATGATTTCACATGCAAATTGAACATATATATATATATATATATATATATATATATATATATATGTTGATTTAGCTAATCCATTGAATTAACGTGTTAAAAAAATTTCTTTATTTTGATATTGACTAATTTTTGTTTCATGGTTTAAGTACTTTTTATATACTTACGTTTTTAATATGCATTAATATCACACACGTGCCTTACTTTGATCAGGCTCGTGTCTTATATTGCCCCCTGTACTTTAGGCTCCAAAAGACCTTTGGCGCCTTGGTGTGGCTTAAGTCGTTAACGATTATGCGCACGTTAGTCCCCCATTGAACCAAATATATGGTATTTCTTGGCAGTGTTATTAAAGGCTCAAGGCGCACCAAGGTGCTAGAGGTCCTTTGAAGCCTAGGCGTGGGGCGCGGCGCACGCCTGAGTGAAGTGAGGCGCACAATTGAAATTTTAAACTACCATAAAAGCATTCATATCTCATAGGTCATATCAATATTCAAAAAATTAATACCAAATTTTAAAAAGTAAATCCATCAACCACATAAGCATTCAAGAACCATAAAGCAGAGCACAAATTTGTTTTCTTGAAAGACAATACAGGAATATTTTATTTTCTTGGATGCACAAATTTTATTTTTGCTAGACCTGCGCCTCAAGCCAAGGTGTGCCTTTAACAACACTGTTTCTTGGTATGCTAGAATGGTGGGACTGAATACTATTGGAAATTTTTTTTCCCATTTTTTTTTTTGGTTCTCTTGAAAAACAAAGCCTTGATGATTATGATATATGATCCATGAAATGCAAGCTGAAGTAAACATCGATGTAATGCTTTAAAGCTTTAGTGGAGGGAAGACTGAGCTGCTTTTGTTTCAGGAATTATATCATGAGTTGCATGCCTTGGATAGATTTGAACAAGATTACCGGCGTAAGCTTCAAGAAGAGGATAATTCAAACGCTGCTCAAAGAGGTATTTAGGGCTTGTATTTCCCTATATGAATCTTCTTAAATCAATTTATCTTTTTTCCTTTAAAAATCTATATTGAATAACTTGAAGTAATTCATTATACTATGATTACATCATTATAGAGTATTAAAACTGAGAATCTTACAGTTAGTGTATCAAGTTCAGGATTCCTATATTATTTTGTTTGAGATGCACCGTACCCTGATAACTACCATGGCTGTTTATCTATTGATATTCGGTGTATTTGTTTCACTTAACTGAAATTGAATTGAGAAGGTCACATAGGGAGTGGTAAATAGTGTTCTTTCTAAGTTAGTCATGAGGTTTATTGTTTCCTAGCCACCAAAGATGGTGGAGTATGTATGTTTTAAATTGTTTTGTCAAATTTCATAGGTTAATTATTCAAAAGCCATTTAATCTTGCTGTTTCTTATATCTTGAATTTTCTGGAGAATTGTCTCTTAACACCTTTAGAGGTTTGGTGGTGGTTTAAGAACATAAGCGTATTGATTTTTTTTATTATTTTAATTTTAATTTCAATTTTTTATTTTATTTTATTTATTTATTTATATGAATTCATAATCAACTTATCCAATTCCTTTTCTAGCTTATGCGTATAGGTCCATAGGATTGACTTGAAATTATTGGCATGTTAAATATTCAAGTTGGACCTACGTCACAAAGAGTGGAAGTGGGAGTTAAAAAGGGAGCATGAGCAAGTTTGTGTGAGAGAAAAAACTTCAAATATATCAGAGCAAGTACGTTTCCAAGCGAGAGTTTACAAATATTTATCTGTACATAAATTTTACACATTCAACAAATAAAGGATCATTACCAAGTGTGGATATAGACCTAGCCTTTGACATTATTTGTAGAAAGTTTTTGCTATCAAGATTTGGAGCACCAAGCACTGTACCCCTTTGTAAATAGTCAATGTGTCATAATTTGTAAATATTATTTTCAATTATAGTAATTAACGGGTATATATATATGAGTGGTATATTGATAGAAATTTCTATAAAAAAATTTCACAAGCAATCTTGTGGTCCAGCGATTGGCGATTCTCTGAAAACTGTTTTAATCATGGGGTCGAGCCCCCTGAAAGCAAATGCCAAAACATTTTTATTACCTTTCAGTATGCCCACTTGGCATGAGGAGTTGATCCAGTGTCTACGAGTCTATCATAACATTGACCGTCAATGTTGTCTTTAAAACTTGTGAGCCTCATGGATCCATATTACGAAGAACATAGTTTGTGCTTTGAATTGCTAGTCCATGGATTCATTGTGAATCTGCTCTCAATTTACTAAGATGTAGATTACCATCGGAGAAAGAAGCACAAAAGTTCTCCGTTACGGCAGGAAGAACTGGGGCACTGCTTCTTTGGCCATTGATGTATGGTATTTTGCAGTCGGTTGCTCGGCGGTGAGACCAAGTGGAAGAGGTCGACGAGTGGTGATATACGGATTACCTCTTCATATTCGATGCCAGATGTTGTTCGAAGCTATAGGGAATCTGTGTGGTGGTTTTCGAGACATGGAGGTGGATGATATGGTGGTAGGAGAGAGAATTGTTCTTTTTGTTTCTGATGAAGGTTTGATCCTGGAATTCATTTACGCCGAAGATCAGAGAGTGGCCTTTAAAGTTGAATTGCGGGTAGAATTATCATCATCCATCCTTCCGAAAGCCTCCATCGCTCCATATGTCAGATTCACACCACAGGATGGGTGCGAGGGGCAGAGTAATGGAAGGCATCGTTGTCCTTCTTCCCGGCTGGAGTTTCAGATCATTCTCGATCCTCAAGGAAAGAGACGTGTGCGCTTCAACACACCGTCCGTGAGTGGGGCAAAGGGAATCATAAGTAGTACACACGTGGACAAGCTTGTGATAGGCTGGTATATGGCTATGACAAGCCTGTTTTGAACATGGGCTTCATAGGCCCAAGCCTATGGCTAGACCTGGGCTTCGGGTCCCCCAAGGGATTAAAAGGAGGGTCCAGAGAGGGCCCAATCCTTGTCCATTTCATTACCAAATGATAAGCCCGGCCCAAATGTTTTAATGGAGCCACATGATGGAAGATCAGTGTAGGTCCAGGGCCATGGTCAGTCTATTTCACAGCGTGCTACACACACGGAGTTGTCATTTGCCAGTTGACATTGGTCCTTGACTGAGAAAACAAGGTGGAGGAAGATGAGTGTAAGCATGACTGGTTCGAACGCGGAAGAGAACTGGAGACACCAACCGTCTCGCCATGGCTCTCGATGGTCTCGCAATGATAAACAGAAGTGGATAGCACGCTCTCATGCTTTCGTTAGTCCGGGTACGTCCTCTGTCATTCATCCTCGGAGCTCTCTTTTTGCTCCTTCTTCTTCTACTCCTTGTGGGGTGTTGAGAAGTGGTGGTGGTGTGGAGGATGTTGGTGTTAAACAGAGGGATGTTTCTGGGCCTATTGTTCCACAGTTTGATGGGTTAGTGATTAAGGCTGCAAAGGAAACATCTGGAAGTGTAGGAAGCTCTGATGGGGTGACGGTTTGTGTGGGACATGATCTCCACTTTAGATTGACCGGAGAATCAGCTGTGGCCTTGCTTAAAGAGCTTCAGCTTTTTGTAGCTTTGAAAGGTCTAAATTGTTTGCCTACCGAGGGATTAGAGACGAACAATGTTCATAGTTCGACGACACTTGACTCGGGTGATTCTGCTATAGATATGGATTTGTAGATGGATATATATGTGAATGGCAAGGAGAGTGAGGGGGAGGAGCTTCCTTTCAGCAGGATTATTTCAATGATCTACTTCCATGGATGGAGACGGACCAATCTGGGATGGGAATAGTGGAACCTTTGGCAGTAGTGCGACCCGACAGTTTAGAGACGACTAATGATTTGGGCAAGGATTGGGAGGCAGAGAATATTAGTGTTATTAGTGAAGCATTGGGTGTCTCCACAGAGGGCAAAGATGATCAAGCCTTGTCCATTCTTCACGCAATTGTGGTAGGGGGAGATGTTGCAGAGATTATTCAAGGCACAAAAGAGGTCAAAAGCAGGAGTCCTTTAACGTCTTGGAAGGGGGGAATAGGAGGTCAAGAATCTCATTTCTTACGTTAACTGTGAGGGGAAGGATGGGGTGGCGAGGGAACGGGGAAGGACCAGAAGTGGGAAACAGGGAGGAGGGGAGATGATCGTTTATTGTTCTTAATGAAGCTACGAATTATTACGTGGAATGTTCGTGGTCTAAATGATCCGGACAAGAGGAGGGTGGTTAAGGTAGCTGTGAGGAAGTCGAGTGCCCATGTTGTTTGCTTACAAGAAACTAAGTTGGCCTCTATTTCTGACGGGATGGTTAGGAGTCTTTAGGGAGGAAGGTTCGTGGAATGGGAAGCACTAAACACCTCAGACACCTCTGGTGGAATCCTAGTAATGTGGGATCGAAGGTGGCTATCAAGGATGAACATTTAGAAAGGAAATCACTCTATCATGCGAGTTCAAGATGGAGGTTTAGATGGGGTTTTTCTGGGGTTTACGTGCCAGGTATTGATAGTGAAAAACATGCCTTTTGGGAAGAGCTCTGCTACGTTAAGGGATTGTGGTCGTTGCCGTGGTGCCTGGGTGGGGATTTCAATTCTGTCAGGTCTTTGTTCGAGAGGTCCACCGGGGCTAGGTGGTCCTCGGAAATGACCCAGTTTTCAGAGTTTATTGATAGTCATTTTCTTATTGATCTACCAATGGAAGGGGCAGCCTTTACTTGGTCCATTGGTAGGGATCCGGTTACTTTTTCAAGGCTGGATAGATTCCTGATTTTTGGGGAGTGAGAAGAGAAATTCCCGGATGTTATTCAGGCAGCTCTCGTAAGGGTGACATCTGGTCACGTTCCCTTAGTTCTTGATTGCGGGGGATTGAGATCTCGCGCACCCCATTCCGTTTTGAGAATATGTGGTTGAGATAAGAGGATTTCCAAGGGAAAGTCCAGTCTTGGTGGGAGGGGGCAATTGTTACAGGTTCCTCTAGCTTTGTATTAGTTAGGAAGTTTCAGATTCTCAAAACTGAGCTTAAGAGGTGGAACAAGGAGGTGTTTGGGAACCTTGAATGGAAGAAGAATAGAGTTCTCACTGATATCGCTGAGCTTGATCACCTTGAAGAATTGGGACAGGATGTAGAGTCTTTGCGCTCTAGGAGAGCCTTTTGTCAGGCAATTTTTGCTGAGATTGCTACTATGGAGGAGGTTTCGTGGCGTCAGAAATCTCGGGCTTTGTGGCTTAAAGAAGGGGATCGCAATACAAAATTCTTTCACAGGCTTGCTAATACTTATAGAAGGTGTAATCATATTGGGGCGTATTTGGGTGAATGGTTCGAAGTTGTGGGGAGAGGATGAGGTGTGCGGGGGGATTGCTTCTTTTTATCAGCAACTTTACACCGAGACATTGGGGTGGAGACCTAAGCTTGATGGTCTCCACTTTGATGCCATTTCTGAGCTGGATAGAGACGGACTTGAGGTTCCTTTTTCTGAAGAGGAAGTGCAGAAGGCGTTATCGAGTTGCAATGGTGATAAAGCTCCGAGGCCTGATGGGTTTACTATGCGGTTTCTTAGGGAGAGTTGGGAAGTGGTGCGTAGTGAGGTGATGGGTACCTTCCAGGAATTTCATTCTCATGGCATATTTGAGAAGTCACTAAACGCATCTTTTATTGCCCTTATTCCTAAGAAGGGCGGCGCCTCTAATATTAAGGACTTTCGGCCAATTATCTTAGTGGGATGTATGTACAAGCTTGTTGCCAAGGTTCTTGTTCCTAGGATGAGTAATGTATTGGATGGAATTATCTTGGAGTCCCAGAATGCTTTTGTTGGAGGACGACATATCTTGGATTCTGTTATTATAGCAGGGGAATGTGTAGACCCCAGGTTGAAGAGTGGGGTCCCTGGTGTCTTATGCAAGCTTGACATTGAGAAAGCTTATGATCACGTCAATTGGAAGTTCCTCCTTTACTTGCTTCAGAGGATGGGGTTCGGAGTTAGGTGGAGGAAATGGATCGAAACATGTATTTCGTCTGTCATGTTCTCTGTTCTAGTGAACGGATCTCCTCCTGGTTTCTTTGCGAGCTCTCGAGGTTTGAGACAAGGAGACCCCTTGTCGTCTTTTCTTTTCCTTATAGTCATAGAGGGGTTAAGCAAACTAATGAGGAGGGCGGAGGAGCTGGGTTATATCATGGGGTTCAAAGTTGGCAGAGATGTAGCTCATCAGATGGAGATCTCCCATCTGCTGCTTGTGTATACCTTGGTTTTTTGTGATGCTGATGTCTCCCAACTTAGATATTTAAGGTGCATTCTTGTTTGTTTCTAGGTGCTTTCTGGGTTAAAGATTAATATTGGTAAGAGAGTGCTTGTCCCGGTATGGTATGTTCCAGATATTTCCTCTTAGGCTGCAGTTCTTGGTTGTGGGGTGGGTGCTTTTCCTATTCCTTATTTGGGATTGCCTTTGAAGGGTTTCCTCTAAGAGGGTGGGGAGTTGGCATCTGGTGATCAATAGGTATGAGAAAAGGTTGGCAGGATGGAAGAAGCAATATTTGTCGAAGGGGGGGAAGGTCACTCTTATAAAGAGTACTCTCTCGTCCCTTCCCACTTACTAGTTATCTTTGTTTCAAATCCGATGCTCTATCGCTGAAAGGATTGAGAAAATTCAAAGGGACTTTTTATGGGGTGAAAGGGGGAAGAGTTCAAGTATTATCTTGTTAACTGAGAGCAAGTTTGCAAACACTTGAAGTTAGGCGGTTTAGGCATCCGAAAGCTGGTTCCTTTTAATAGAGCTTTATTGGGAAAGTGGTTATGGAGATTCGGCAGGGAACGACATCGACAATGGAGAAGGATTGTCTCGTGTCGTTTTGGGGAGGAGAGTGGAGGTTGGTCCTCTCGTCTAATCTCCGTTGTGGGAGGCGTCGGCATGTGGAAATTCATTCGGAAGGGTTGGGATGTTTTTTCCTCACACATCAGATTCAAGGTTTGTGATGGTAGGTGGGTCCGCTTTTAGGAGGATTTATGGTGTAGAGATCAGTTGTTGTCTTATTCTTTTCCTAGACTTTATAGCATTGCTGAAACTAGGCACGCCTGCGTAGCTGACTATTATCGGCTTGATAGTAGCGGGGTTACATGGGTTGTACGTTTTAGGCGTTCTTTTCAGGATTGGGAGATGGACGAGGTATGTGTTTTTTTGGACTTGTTGTATCAGCAGAAGGAAGTTGGTAGAGGTAGTGATGACATTTTGTGGGTCCCTTTCACCCATGGTAGATTTGGTGTTTGGTCCATGTTCTTTTGTCTGTCCAATTTCGATAGTTAGGATTTCCCATGGAAGCTATATGGCGTTCTAAGGCTCCACTTAGAGTCGCATTCTTTGTTTGGACTACCTTTTGTGGCAAGATTTTGACGTTGGACAATTTGAGGAAAAGAGGAAACACTATTGTTAATTGGTGCTGTCTATGTAAAACAGACGGTGAGTTTGTGGATCACATTCTTATGCATTGTCCTGTGGCATATGATTGTTGGAACCTTATCTTTGGCATTTTTGGCGTCCATTGGGTAATGCCTCAGTCCTCCATAGGACTGATTAACGCGTGGAGAAGATGCCCAGTGAAAAGCCACGGTCGTGACTATTGGAGGATACTTCTACACTGTTTTTGGTGGTGCATTTGGTGAGAGAGGAATAACAGAAGTTTCGAAGGAAAGGAAACGTCTTTGGCGACTTTGAAAATGCATATTCTCCGTTCTATTTTCTGTCATGTGAAAGGAAACGATTGCTCCTCAACTGATGACTTAGTTGAGGTTTTGGACTCTATTGGTCCTTCGATTCAACTTTCGTTTTTTGTATTAGGGATGCGTTCCCCTTTTGAACGCTCTTCTAATCGATTTTTACTTATTAAAAAAAAAAAAAAAAAAAAATTTACTAAGATGCACATTGAGAGCGGGAGCAATACCCACCTTAGTCAGTTTATATTAGAGCTGGACTATAGTTCTTCTCAAGCTTGGCTTGTCCCAATCTAATATGGTGCTTATTCTAGCTTGTGGCCACCTTTATAGTAGACCATTCAGCATTTATTACTTTGACCTCCCCTAAGATTTGGTGCATGTGCTCAATGACACCCCTAGCACTTTATTTCCGAAAGGCTTGTTGACCAAATTTTATAAAATGACAATTTTGCCCTTCCCTTGTATAAAATGCAATATAATATATTATTATAATATAAGGGCATTGCTGATTTTTCACACTTAGTGTCACTTTCCGGCCATCGGCGAACTGGCTTAGGGGAGGTCAAAGTTATAAATGCTGAACAGTGTACCTGTGTGTAATTTGTCTAAACCTTAATAGAGGTCATTGTAATTTACCCCATTTAAGGTACTGTGTCCTGCCTAGTTCTAAAATCTGAAATTTCTGACAGATTATGTAGGATATACTTCCTTTGATTATTTTTAATCATTTTTTTTAATCTTTTTCTCATAGGAGTATCATGCTTTGCTTGTAATTTTGTTTAACTGTGTCTATATATATACTGACATGTAGGAGATAGCCTTGCAATCTTAAGGGCAGAAGTGAAGCAACAAAAGAAGCATGTAAGAAGTTTGAAAAAGAAATCACTCTGGTCCAAGATTTTGGAAGAGGTAGCTAGTCTGTGTGACTTTGTCTCTTTCTGCATTGGGTAGATGATTTTTTTTTTTAATACTAATTCGGTAGGTTCTAAATATTGAGTTGAGCTTGTTGATAATATTGTTTTTAAATATTGTCGCTAGTGTGGGTAACAGTTGTGTGCTCATTACGCAGTGTGCAATGTTTAGACAATCATTGCAAACAGAGATCTTATTTGAGAAGATCTGAATAGTTAACCTTGTTTCTAATGATTTCTGGAGTTTCTTACTGGAGGAGCAAATGCTAATTTCTTGTATATATCGTTTTATAGGTGATGGAGAAGCTTGTAGATATTGTCCATTTCTTGCATTTGGAGATCCATGAGGCTTTTGGTAGTGCTGGTATGTATTCAAACTTCCATCCGATTTTCTTCTTGTGGCATGCCTGTTTTAGTCTGCTATTCTGCTTGATGCAGTAAAGGGTGGAAGGAAAATTTAGTTTTGTATAGTTGTTTCACTGATACACTTCCAGAATGTATTTGCAACTTGGGTTCAAGAAACTGAACATTTTAGAGTATTAGTAAAATAGGGAAAATTTAAAACATTATTCAATTGGTGAGCACCAATCAGCCTGCCTTCGTACAGTATAAACAATTTATCTTCCTTTTTTTTTTTTTAATGAAGTCATCATGAAAAAAAAAAAAAAGAAAAAAAAAAAGAAGAAAAGAAAAACTGCATTCCGAAAAATAAAGGACAAGGGAGTGTTAGAATCATGGTCTGTGCAAGTATTTGCCATCTTTATGCTCAACTTGAGTTGGCAAGCATGGGGTTCGAGTCTCAGAGCAATCGCTTTGTGCAAAATATCCTAACATATTATGTCTCCGAACTTCTCCTCTGAGCAACCCATATAGGCATCCCTTACACCGGGTAATGCACTTCATTCTCACCTCCTTTTATATTATGAGTTCTATAGATGCTTGATGAGCTCATCTTTGAGCCTTATAGAGGGGTCAAGACTACAATTGAATTGGATTCTGCACCAGTCTCACTGGAAAATGCTATTTCCTTGAAAAACAGAAAGAGAACATGTATACTTCTTTGGTTTTTTTTTTTTTTTTTTTCCTGTATGGGTACTCCATGTTTCTTTGTTCTGTATCTTGTGCACATGGTGTTCTGCATTAAACTATGTACAGTTCCAGTGTGTGTATAAATTTTTCTTTGAGTTAATGATTTGGCGTTCACTTGCAGATGGAGATAAACCATTAAAAAACAACCATCAGAGATTGGGATCTGCAGGTCTTGCATTGCATTATGCAAATATTATAACTCAAATTGATACGCTTGTGAGTTTATCATCCCATTTAATTTTTGTATTATATTACTTCTTCTATCATCATAACTATCATTATCTAGTGCCTAAGGCTGTTAGTTTACCGTCACTTATCGTGGAACGTCTTTTCAACAATAGTGCAAAGAGTATTACACTCTAAACTCAGCAAAACAATTCTTTTCCATATCACATCTAATAATATTTTAGGCTAAAAAAAGTGAAAAAAAAATACCATTGAATAATTTAGGCTCAATACTTTCCAATAACCGCATCTAAATGCACTTTATGGCATAATGGAGCAAGTAGTTCATCCATTGAAAATTATGGAAAAAATAATAGCCTTTTTCCTAACAACACAATTGAATATATCAACCATTGTCCTCACTCATTGCATGAGAAGATTGAAATATGAATCCTCAATAGTTATTTGGATTTTCCAAACTTAATTCATTGGTAACAGCACCAACAGCAGCAAGATGTCCCTTTTCTCAGCCTTAATTTTAAAGAAGTTTAAGAGCTGATTAAAATTGCAATATATCTCATTGGAGTGGAACCTAGAAAAGCATCTGGAAGAAGAAAACCAAAAGCTTCAAGGAAATAAGTAATATGGAAAATATGCTGGTCAAATTCCTGTTTGGCCCTCTCTGTGGGGCTTAGAGTTATCTTTGTCCGAAAGCACTTGGCTAATCTAGCACTAGTGGAAATTAACCATATGATTATTTCCTAAAACTGAAATTTGAGCCTTTTGTGAATATTAGATTTTCATAAAGCCTCTCAAAAGTGGGAATAATTATGTATAATGTGATTTTTTATTTACTAATTTTTTATTTTTAATTATTCATAGTCTTGCTTTCATTTGGCTGAGGCAAAAAATCTTCTCTCATAAGTATACACAAAAGCACGGAGGGAACATTCCACGTAGAAAAGAGATGGCTACAACTCTCCATGTCTTAAACTCACACCAAAAACTCATACCACTTGAGAAATCAGTAAAGGCTTCAACAAAAAATACAGCATCCATCCACCCTGAAATCACTTGGAGGACCAGAAAAAGGAGGTCAGGATCAACTATTCCAAATTGTGACCACAAATCTCCTATCCCTTGAATGAACTCCGATTCCTCTCCTTTCAAATACACCGAAAAAGTTAGTAGGGAGCTACCCTCCAGGCGGATCTAAATTTCCTATTTGGACTACCCCCTTGCTATCTCCCAAGCACCTCTAACACTGAGCATGTCATTATCCAGTAGACCCCAAATAAAGATAGAAGCAGACTCCACGTTACTATAACTATTCAGCAATTCAAAAGGTCATTTACAGATTCCACTGCTTTTTGACAGATGCAACACCAATTCGCTAGATTTTTTTCCCTTCCTAACTGAATTGTTACTTGCTAAAATTTCATTCGTCAAGATCTTCTTCCAAGAGGAGGGTGTCCATGTAAAAAAAGCAACCTTAGGAGGTGCTTTGGCTTCCCAAATACCTTCCCGAAGGAACTATGAAACACCCACTATGCATAATTCTATATGGATGACCTTACCCAAAAGCAGCATTCCCAGAGGCCAACCACCCCAAGCTATCATCTCTATTGAATTGTAGGAAGTTTCACACACCTAATTAACTAGGTCCTCAACCAAACTTCAACTCCTAATCTGTCACTCCCCTATCGAAGCGAGGATCCCAAACCTCCTCCTAAACAAATCTTTCCATGTAGTCCACGATAAGGCCATTGTTATAAACTGCAAAATAGAAGAGCTCCAGAAAAGCATGGTAGGAGTCGAATTACACTTCCTTAAATCCTCTCAAAACTAGGAGTAAAATTAATTGTAATATGAAATTTCGGCTCTTAATTAGTCCAATCTAACATGAATGGATAAAATGAGAAGTGATTACGTTTGTGAAATGGTTGTAGAAGCACCAATTTTTGAGATAAATTGAGAAAAAATAGTTTAAGATGATTTTGCAATGTGCAGTGCAGTGTGGACCAATTAATGCACCAGTGAGGTAATGTGGTCCATATTGCGAGCGACCCCAGGTGCATGGTAGATTAAAATTAACATCAGTTGAGATATTAATGAAATATATGATAGCTTGTACATTAATTGAAATAATGGCTGTAGAATAAAATGATGGAACAAGATTTATGTAGTTTACCCCAAAGTGTTGGGACAAAGATTTTAAGGTGTAATCAACCTAGTTTTACTGAAGACAAGCTCCATTTTTTATTTGATCAAGGCATAGGCTAATTAATTATGTAATCTCGAAACACGGCGTTTATTAAAAAGGTAACAGGACTTGCTTCGTTTAACAATCGATTTACAAATCGTGTTGGGTTTGAGTTGCATTGTCAGCTCGTGTCAAATTTTCCATCCTTGATTAGATGCTTATTTAAAAGAGATGACTACATATATGAACTTTCTTAGAAAATTGTATGGCATGTCACTTACTAGAAGAATATGACAAACTATTCCACCAGATCTACATGTAAAAACGAGAACTATCTACTTGACATGTGGTACTCTGGTACTAAATTATATGGATTCATGGTTATTTTGGACTTTTTTGTGTGCATGTCATAATTTAATGTGTATTGATGAGTGCACTAATCCTCCTTCAGGATTAGAATAGAAAGTTTGTGATTAAAATAACATAAAATAATGACTTTAAAATAGTTTTTTCCCCCCTTTTTAGGTCAGTGCGACTTCCATTGGCAAATTTCGTATGATGAAATCATACTGGAGTCTGTAACTTTATTTATTTATTTTTTGTTTTTAATCTCTTGCTTAGATTATAAATTTCAAAAGTTAGTGGTAGTGGTTAACTCTTCCTCATGGTCGATGATGCAATTGGAGTTACATAAAAAGGTAAATGCATAATCTTATACACCAAGTGGAAAAAGGTAATTTGGCACTTCGATGAACTCAACATTTTAGGGTTCATGCATACAAGCATTAGGGCTTCTTATTAGAGTAACACTAGCAAGAGGATATCCTCATGACAAGAGACATGAGCTCTCCATATTTAACCACTGAATTGAAAGATGTATTTAATGATTCATTTGACTTTTCACAAATATAAAAAGAAAGTCTCATTACTTATCAAAAAAAAATAAAAAGAAAGTCTCATAAAAAGAACTCTCTTAATAGCATTACTCTTCTAATTGTACTTGATTTTATTCTCAGAATCCTAATTCTATGCCTGCAAAAGTGTTTTCGGAAACTAACACCTGAAATTTTGCTAGTATAGAACTGCACTAGAGTTCACTTCATGGAGCTATCAATCGAGGGCCACTTGAGTTGTGTCGATCAATCAACCAACTCCTCAATTTTGGAATTCCATACTTCCTTTTTTTTTTTTTTTTTTTCCAATTTAGAACACTAATAAACCTATTCTTTCTATACTTCTAATTTACATAAATACACACTACTATAGGTCAAATTGCATACATCTAGAATACAATTGACAGAGCATATATGTGAGTTCTAGAGTGCATCTTTTTTATTTATTTTTTTACATTTATCATTCTTGAATTAGAGTTGGTCAGTGTGGTCATAGTGTTGACAAGTATTGCTGTGGGGTTCTTCCGAGAGTTCAACACTATCGCTAATCCATTCAACTGAGTGATTCAGACGACCAGTTGCTAAGACTGAATCACTGGTGTGAGAAGTAGATTCGAGAGGAGCGAAGTTGGTTGACGAGCGGATCATATGTCTGGAGACTTGGGGAGAGTTTGGTAAATCCATCTGTATCAAGATCTAAGTAAAGGTTTTCTAGGACTTTAGGAAATTGTTAACCTAGGTTGCTAAGGGGATCATATGTTTGGAGACATGGGGAGAGTTTGTTCAGAATTTGAATTTGAATTTTTATTAATTTCATTAAAATACAAAAAATTGTTATGAGTAATTAGACCAACCAACAAGACCTATTCAGCTCCCTTCTAGGTTCACGGACCTCGCACAACTCTCTATCACAGCATTGGGTTATGGTCTAACAAACCTTTTCTTTTTTCTTTTTTCCCTGAATGGTGGCTTATGGTCCAACAAACCCCCACCCATTTTCAGAGAATGAGAAATGATGCTTTTCCATCAGATCTTGTGTTTGTGTCTTTTTTTTTTTTTTTAATAATAAAAAAAGCAAATATCTCTGTTTGATCAGCAGTTCCCTTTTTGCAAATGATATGCTCTTGGGCATTTTCCTGATTAAAACATCTTGATTGTAATCAGGTAACCCGTTCCAGTTCTGTGCCTTCCAATACAAGGGATGCTTTATACCAGGGCTTGCCACCTAGTATAAAGTCAGCTTTGCGCTCGAAATTACAGTCATTTCAGATCAAGGAAGAGGTATTTGTTCTTTTGAATGCCTTAAACTTCTCAGTAAATACTTCAAGAAAAAGAAAAAAAAAATTCCTTTAATTTTATTTTAATATGCCCTTAACTGGTTTGCTTGTCTTTGCATCCTTCCTAAGCTCTTGAATTTTGATGCATCTATATTCATTTGTAACCACTCTCTTCATTGTTGTTATTGCAGCTTAGTGTCCCACAGATCAAAGCTGAAATGGAGAAAACGTTGCAATGGCTTATTCCCATTGCCACAAACACAACCAAGTAAATGAAATCTGCTGGCCTTTGTAAACAACTACATTTTATTGTCTGTGAACCCAAATTTATAGTTTTCTTAGAGTCCTTTGCTTGCCGCGGGGGTGGGTGGGGCATGGTCAGCTTCTCATGAACTGCAAGGATATTTAGGAATTCACTGAACATGCATCTTTCATGAGATTCTTGGCATTTGCTCCAATCAGTGTCTTGGCAGCTTTCTTGGGGAACATGACAGACTATAAAACTGCTAACTGGGGGCAGTATGTTTTACTGTAGCATCAATTTTGTTATTTACAATTCTTATTTTGCTTTCTTCTTGTTTATTGATTACTAATCCTTCTGTGTGGTCATCGAACTTGGTATGCAACAGAGCTCATCATGGCTTTGGATGGGTTGGCGAATGGGCAAATACAGGGTTAGTTTGATTTACTAGGTGCTTATTGCTATATTTTTAATATGCCACTTCTTTTATTTACTAAAGACTCGTTAAATTTCTTTAGATCTGAGGTGAACCGGAAACCTGCTGGCCAGGCTGACCTACTCCGGATAGAGACACTCTACCATGCAGATAAGGAAAGAACTGAAACTTATATTCTTGAACTGGTGGTGTGGCTTCATCATCTTGTCAGCCAATCAAGGGCTACTGCCAATAGTGGAATTAGGTCCCCTGTTAAATCCCCAGTTCTTTCTCCCAATCAGAAAAGAATACAGTTGTCCTCACATAAGGCCAACTCTGCATTGCCTACGCTGACGGATGAAGACCAGGAAATGCTTCGGGACGTAAGTAAGAGGAAGCTTACACCTGGAATAAGCAAGAGTCAGGAATTCGATACTGCAAAATCCAGGTTAAGCAAACACCATAGGCTGACAAAGAGTAGCAGCCATTCCCCAAGCAGCGAAAATAACAAGGACCCCTTCTATGTTAGGCGGCCATCTTTTCTTCCTGTCATCGACTTTGCTTTTGACAAGGTCAAAGCGTTGGACGTCATTGATAGAGTGGACACAATTCGGAGTGTACAATAATTGTACGACGGAGTCAATGCACAGACAAAGGGGGCTTGTATATGCACCAGAGTGGCCATTTTCTGCTGCATTTTTTCACATTAAGTTCATTTAGTTCGTTGCAGCGCTGAAGCTGTGTGAGGCAGGTAGAAGATGGCGAGTAATGTAAGCCGATACTGTTTTGCATGTGAGTTTCAGAAATGATCATGGGTGAAATTGTAGTATTGTTCAAAGGGAATTTTTACTGTTGAGAGATCGATTGGTTATCATTCGGCAGTGTCATGTTTATGTACAGAATGCTCTCTTAAGTTTCCCAATAATTTATTGTCATGTTTCTGTTTCTGACAGATGTTCTTCCCGAACCAACATTTTTGTAAATTAATTTGTGGGCCTTGATCAATTTGATCAAACAACTGTCATGAATGTTATTTGAAAGATGAATTCAATCTTTTTGAGCAAATTAAAATTGCTCAGAAACATTTTGAGTAAAAGGACTTTATGAATCAATACTGGTTTGTGCAGATTACTCAATCCCACCAAATGTTGTTGTGGTACTTTCTGACCCTCCAAAATAAAAAGTCCAGAGTTCGAGTCTTTGTATAGATAATTGGAAGCGAGAGTGGTACACATAAATTATAATGCCTTTGGTTCCAAAATCACTTTCTTCTTCCACTTGAATCAAGGTAAGGTATCAAACCCTTTCAAATTTTGTTTTGGCATGGATCTCAACTTCACATTTTGTATCAGGTCTTGCTCCAGCAGCAATGGACTCAGGAAAATAATCTGAGAGGGGCAGCATCTTGTTGTCGTGAAATTTCATCTAATTTTAGAGGTGAAATTCACAATTAAATTGGTAAAATTCAAAGCGCAAAACATCATTTTAATAAGTAGGTGACGTAATGCTCGTGTGTATTAAAAGTAGAGTAATGGCACTAGGCAAGCGTCAATCCTCATTAATGATCTTAGAACTTTGTAGAAATGTGTTTTTGGTAAATTTTCGTCACTGTCCCTTTGTGAGGGAGCACCCCATCTCCCAAACTTACGGAGTTATTTTGCCGAGTTCCGTAGAGAGAGTTGTTTCGCGTCTTTAGATATTCTCTGCCTACCCACTTATGTTGGTTTCAGGTACAGGTACCCTTTTATTAAAAGTCGTCTGAGCTCATACCAGAGAAGATCAAATTCCTGACAAATAGCCTATGGTCAGATTTAAGATCAAATTAATCTATGTAAAAAATTTACCAATTTTTTTTTTTCCCTTCAATTATATCATACATAAAACATCAATGACAATAGGAAGTTCTCCTATATTGTAAGAAAATTTTATTGAGTAACTAAAACTATTCGCGTAACCGGTGGCTGAAAAAATGGGCTCAACACTGTGATATTTATGCAAGGTCATTTTTTATTCTTTATTCCGTGCTCAAGCAGGAAATTGTAAGGTACTCTAAAAAGTTTTATATAGACATAAATAAATAAATACTTGTGTCTCAAATTAAATATTTACTTTTTTTATTTGTGGCTGTTGCAAAATCAATGTCCTATTTGAAAAGTGTCATTATTAAAAAATAGGCAAACTTATATACTCCTGTGTTTATGTTAAATTTTGGAAGGTGTCGTTGTATTTTACCCTACCCTAAATTTTACTTTCTCCCACGCAAATTAATGTACCCTTTTGGAGAATGAATGAAGGATGAGTTTTATTTTAAAAAATATATATAAAAAAAAAGAAAATCTAGCGTGTCTTCAACGCTATAATACTGCTATCTAAACCTTATCCTTCCTTCACCGCCCCCTAACCTTGTGTAGCTATCTCCTAACCCTAACCCTAACCCTAACCCTAACCCTAACCCTAACCGCCATTCATTCGTTCTGTATCTGCGATGTTTGACTCGTGGAGTTTGCGTCAATTTGCCATTGCTGCTGAAAAAATTCCTTCATACGATTTGTCCAAAATGGGACTTGATTGGCTGCTTGTGGGAATTAAAGTTTATCAGGTGACATATGATGAGGATTTTAGAGTAATAGATCGTCGCGTTGAGATCTCGTTTAAGCAAGACGTGTCTTTTAGCGAGTTACAATCCGATCATTCATTCTTCTCTCGATTCCTTCGTGCGAATGGAGTTCCAGAGAACGCGGATATGATGGAAGAGTTGATCTCTGTTTCTAGAGATGTTATTCGTTGTACCAGAGGAAATCGCAAATGGGTTTTCTTTGACCCCGTACAAGCAATGGTTTTGCACGTCCGTTACGTCAACCACTCATCGTCTACATCAGCACTGAACAGGGCTTTGGAGGAATCCATTCAAGTTGTCCCCAAAACACTGCCAGCAAGTAAAGAATCAATCTCTGCGTTGGAGAAGATGGTGATAGATCCGATGGAAATAGATGATGGTTCTTTTTCAGTGAATGATGAGTGCATGATTTGCTTACTGAAGTTTCATCTGGGAGTAGAAGTGGTCACTCGAATGCCATGCTGCCATATGTACCACGGAGAGTGCATTGTTCCTTGGCTGCAGGCAAATCATTCTTGTCCGGTATGTCGATTCGAAATTCCAGTTTGAAGAAAGATTAGATTCTCTCTTTTTTTTTTTTTTTTTTTTTTTCCACTCTTCATAGATGGAAGAGATGCATTAAGTGTAACAGAATTCAATTTGTTAATGAAATGTATATATTCTTTCACTTTTATTTGCTATGCCCAAAGATAAATTTGTTTTTACAGATTATGAACCAATTCCCAAAGAGAGAGAAAGATGAAAAAAAAAAAAAATAGAAATTAAAATAAATTTTTTGAAGAAGAATCTTATCTTATATGTATGGAAAGCTAAGACTTGTCCCAAATTTTGTTGGACAAAAATAGTCACATTAGTACATGACACATCATACAAATATGGGTATAAATGTAATTTTAAACATAATTCTTCTTTGAAAGGTAGGAAGAAAATTATATGGAAGGGAGAAGAAGGGATAATTGAGAAATTCCTAGAGAAGAGATTGTGTTTATTTCCTCTTTTTGTTTGGTTGGATGGAAGAGGAGAAGAGACTGTCAATTTACTTTGTTTGGTAGGATAAGAGGTAAGAGAGGGTTTTAGATTTTTTTTTTTACCATTAAACCAATCAAATTTAAAACTTCTTAATAGGCCCACTTGTCTCCCCTCCTCCCTTTTGCCCATATTTGAAGGGAGAAGAAAATTAGATGGAAGGGAAAAGAAGGGATTATTGAGAAATCCCTAGAGAAGAGATTGTGTTCATTCCCTATTTTTGTTTGGTTGGATGGAAGGGGAGAAGAGATTGTCAATTTACTTTGGTTGGTAGGATAAAAGGTAAGAGAGGGTTTTTTTTATTTTTATTATTATTATTATTATTTTATTTTTTTTACCATTAAACCCATCAAATTTAAAACTTCTTAATAGGTGCACTTGTCTTCGTTCCTCTCTTCTGCCCATATATATTTTTTTTCATAAGTAAAAATAATATTAAAAAAGGCGTTCAAAAGGGGAACGCGCCCTAATTACAAAAGAGGAACTGGGACTAAGGCCCCAAAGAATCCAAGAATAAAAGCTCCCCTTCACATAGTTGAAAAGAGAACGAAGAATGTAAAGTTTGACTATTGCCGTGGGCGACTCTTTCCCTTCGAGCATTCTGTTATTTCTCGCTTTCCAAATACACCACCATACACAATATGGTATAATTCTCAAGAAATCGCAAATGTCTCCTCACTCGACTACCTTTCCAACCGTGATTCAATTCCTTAGTAGATCGTGGCATAATCCAACACATGCCAAACAACCCAACAATAAGATTCTAACAGTCGTTCGCCATAGGGCAATGCAAAAGGAGGTGATCAACGGACTCCTCATCATCCTGCAAAGACAACATCAATTAACGATACAATTGCCCCTTTTCCTCAAGTTATCAATTGTTAGAATCTTTCCCCACACAACGGTTCAAACAAAGAAAGCCACCCTAGTTGGAGCCAAAGACCTCCAAATATTTTTCCATGGGAAGTCTCGATTAACAAAATGAGACAAACATAAGAACAAGGATCTAACTTCGAAGCGACCGTGGGAAGAAGGAGCCCAAATTAAAACATCATTACCTCTACCAACGCCCTCCTGCCGATACAGAAAATCCAAAAAACACATACCACCTCCATCTCCCAATCCTGAAAAGAGCGCTGAAAATGCACATCCCACGTAATCCCGCTGCTATCAAGCCGATAACAGTCAACTACATAGGCGTATTTATCAATAGCAATACTGAATAATCTAGGAAATGTATGAGAAAGTGGTTGATCCCTACACCAGAGATCTTCCCAAAACCGAATGCAACGACCATCATGGAGTTTGAATCTGATATGAGCCGAAAAAACATCCCATCCCTTTCGAATAGCCTTCCACATCCCTACTCCTCCCACCAGGGTAATCGGACGTGTAGACCACCCTCCAGCCTCTTCCCCAAACCGACAAGAGACTAACCTGCGCCATGGACAATGTTTTTCCCTCCCATATCTCCATAACCACTTACCCAGGAGAGCTTGATTGAAAGGAACTAAACTCTTATTCCAAGTCCACCCAATTTCACAGGCTTAAAAACTTCCTCCCATCTGACAAGGCGGTACTTGAACTCATCACCCTTTCCTCTCCAAAGGAAATCCCTTTGAATTTTTTCAATCCTATCTGCAACGGAACAAGGGATTTGGAACATAGAAAGAAAATAAGTGGGCAGGCTCGATAACGTACTTTTGATAAGAGTAACTTTACCCCCTTTTGACAAGTATTGCTTCTTCCATCTTGCCAATCTCTTCACATACCTGTCAATCACGGAATCCCAACTCCCCACTAATTTTGAAGAGACCCCTAGGGGCAAGCCCAAATAAGGAATAGGGAATGAGCTCACCCTGCATCCAAGGACTGCAGCTAAAGAGGAAATATCCTGAACATTCCCTACTGGGACAAGCACACTCTTAGCCACATTGACCTTTAGCCCGAAAACTGCCTGAAAACAAGTCAATACACACCTCAAGTATCGAAGTTGAGACACATCAGCATCACAGAAAACCAGGGTATCATCTGCAAAGAGTAAATGAGAAATCTCCATCTGATGGACTGAATCTCTGCCCACCCTGAATCCCTTTATAAAACCAAGGTCCTCTGCCCTGCGCGTAAGTCTCCTTAACCCCTCCATAACAACAAGAAAAAGGAAAGATGACAAAGGATCACCTTGTCTTATACCCCGAGAGCAACTGAAGAAATTAGCGGGAGAACCATTCACAAGAACTGAAAACTTGACAGATGAAAGATGGGTCTCAATCCACTTTCTCCATTTACTTCCAAACTCCATTCTTTGTAACAAATAGAGTAGGAAATTCCAATTCACATGATCATATGCTTTCTCAATATCAAGTTTGCATAAAACTCCAGGAATACCACTCCGCAATCTGGAGTCCACACATTCGCCAGCAATAAGAACTGAATCAAGAATTTGTCGTCCGCCAACAAAAGCATTCTGGGAATCCGAAATAATCCCATCCATTACTTCCCTCATCCTTAAAGGAAGCACCTTAGCAATAAGTTTGTAAATACAGCCCACCAAACTGATAGGACGAAAATCCTTTATATCTGAAGCGCCTCACTTTTTTGGAATAAGGGCAATGAATGAAGCATTAAGCGACTTCTCAAAGACGCCAAAAGAATGAAACTCTTAAAAAGTACCCATTACCTCATTTCTTACAACTGCCCAACTTTCCGTCAAAAATCGCATGGTAAAGCCATCAGGTCCCGGAGCTTTGTCTCCATTACAACTTGATAAAGCTTTAAGAACTTCTTCTTCAGTGAAAGGATTCTCAATCCTATCTCTATCAAACTCGGTAATAGCCTCAAAATGGAGACCATCAAGTCTGGGCCTCCAAAAAAAAAAAAGACATACATCTGCCCATATTTGAAGGGAGAAGAAGGGATGATTGAGAAATCCCTAGAGAAGAGATAGTGTTCATTCCCTCTTTTTGTTTGGTTGGATAGTAGAGGAGAAGAGCCTGTCAATTTACTTTGGTTGGTAGGATAAAAGGTAAGAGAGAGTTTTAAATTTTTTTTTACCATTAAACCCATCAAATTTAAAACTTCTTAATACGCCCACTTGTTTCCCTCCTCTCTTCTGCCCATATTTGAAGGAATGAAAATTTGTGGAGGAGGAAGGATGATTTATTCATCTTATTATCCTTTCTTTCCCTATTGCATTTCTATCAACAACAAAGAAAATTTGTTCTTTCTTTCCTATTTTCCTTCCATCCCTCTTCCTTTCCTACTGAACAAAGCATAATGTCATGGACTTGGACCTGGGCGTTTGCTTGGCGTAACCTCTGGTTGCGGGGGTGTGACAGTAAGCCCCAACCTACACCTTGAATCATACCAGACCTCGTTCTCTCCTAAGATCCAAATCACAAACCTTATCGTCTCTCTATCTTACCAACAGTCCACCACCAAATCACCGTCGGTTATGAGGTTTTGGTGGTGGTTGTCGGCTATGGGGATGGTGGCTATGGTGGTTGTGGAGATGGGTGGTTCATTCGCCGGATTTGCAGCGATGGAAGCGGCGAAATTTATGTTGGCACCGGCCACCATAAATCTTGCCGCAGATCATCGGCGCAGTCATCCATGATTTTGGCCAAGAATCCTTTTGCCAATGTTGTCCATTTTTTTTCCAGCCAAGCATTTTTCTTCCAGTGCTGTCCATTATTTCTGGTCAAGTATCCAAGTCGTCGTCGTCCTTGGTGTTACATTCTTCGTGCCAGATGCCAGTAGTGTCATCTTCACTGATGAAGAAGACGTTGAAAAGATCCACCATTTGGTTCCTTGAATTTTCAAATTGCCTTTTGGAATCTTCATGATATTACACCCATGCCGTCAATTTAATTATACATTATACTACTAAAATAAGTAATTTTTGTTATGTTTGAGGACATTTAAGGAATAGAAAAACGGGGATAAGTCTCAAACCTCCTCATGGAGGTGGGTAAGTTAGCTTTCCCCATTATACATAAGATTGTCTGCGGAAGCTTTGAAGAGAGAAGAAACCAAGAGAATATCGAAAATTAAAATGTATGCATCACATGCATTTTGTTGTTTTAATTCAATATGCATATTAGACAATTAAACAACTATTGAATTGATTATAGTGATACGATTAAACTGGCTATTGGTATGAAGATTCATTCTGCTGAATTGGATTATTTAAATTTCACGAGTATTATGTTTATGCATATACGTTTGTATATATATGTAAGATATGAATATATATATATATATATACACACACACACACTCATGTATACCTGTGTGTGTGTGTGTATATAAATGTAGCAGTAATTGCGGTTGGGAATTTGTAAGCCATGACCGCATGATTGGGAACTCAGAAATCCTCTCAATTGTGTCATTAACGATTAAAAAAACTCTGATTTTTTTTTTTTTGAAATAATATTTCAGTTGTAGTTGTTGTTTCACTGATATGTCAATATCAGTTTTTCTTATTTCTTATTATTTTTTTGGGGGGGTCATCAGTGGATTGAGCTAATGTGTTGTAATTTTGGTTGCCAGGTTTTGAAAATTTAATAATAAATTAAAGATTGCATTATATTTGGAGTTTTTTCTTAATAGAAAAATCCATTCTATGAAGATGTATTGTTTGTCTATCTTTGCAGGAAATGGTAGTGATTTGCGTGTTTCGGTTACAATTTCAGTTCTTCCCCGTTATGTTTTAGCATTTAGATATAATTCAAATTAAATTTACTTGGGGATGTTAATTTATGGGAAAACTAGACTTAGGTAAAATTACGAGGCCTAAATAACAAAGTGGTCTATTTAAAGAGTTTGTTTTTATCTTTAATTGAATTTAGCAAAATAATTACATGTTCATCGAAAACTATTGTTCAGGTCCAAAGGACCCTCTGAACTCTTATTTCAAAATACCAATTTATTCTTCTTAAATTAAAAAATTCTCTCACTCAAATCTTTCCTAAATTAGCATAGCACTACCTTGGGTCTGGCTCTTGTAGTTGGCAGCAAAATTCTTAATAAATGATGGTGATTAAATAAATAAATACCTAAACACAAATCATGCAACTAGTAAAACACTTGTTAATGCACAAAACATTTAAAAGTAACACTTGTACTGTGACCTTAACATTTCATGGTATGCGTGTCCGTGCTTTTTCGGAGAATTTAATTGAAGAACTCAACTCAACCAAATGAAATCCTTGTATTAGGATTGGTTGAGTGGGAATTTTTAGACTTCTAAGTCTTTTTTTTTTTTTTGATAAGTAAGACTTCTAAGTTTTCAAACAAAGAAAATTTCATCAAACACTTGTATTGTGGTTTTTGGTAAAGAAATTGCACTTTACATGGCATGAATAATCAAGAATGTGAAGTTGTGGAATTTATTAGATGTGTGTAGCAGTGGATAATGCAAAGTATGTCAATTTCTACTTGCGTCATTTGTCAAAATTAATTTTAAGTCCTATTTCAAGTGTTATTTTAAACCCCAAGCAATTTGTAAATTTGATGTTTGAATACCTGTGAATGATCATATTTTGAAACTGCATGTACATTGCAGCAATAATATTCTTTGGAAATTGTTGCTTGTCCTCCAATGAAGATTATAGTGCTGATGATAGAGTGGATCACTGCTATATCCACCTTCCATGTCCAACTACTAGTTCCCTATATTATCTGTTGTTTCTTTTATATAATTCTATGCTGTTGTTTAAATTAGGTGTAGCACCCATAGGTGAGAAAATTAGACAGAGTTGGGTTAGATGGTTTGGACACATATACCAGAAACCTAGCGACGCGCCGGTGAAGCGAGGAAGACTAGTTGTAATAGAAGGTAAGAGATGGAGAGGGCATCCAAAATAACATGGGATGAGGTTATTAAAAATGACCAAGTTTAAACATAGTAGGGGAAATGGCAAGTAATAGGAAATATTGGAGAGAGGGAATTCATGTGGCCGACCCCATTTTTGTGGAATCAAGGCAAGGATGATGATGATAATAGACATTATTCAACATATATCATTGTCTAACAAAAGGAAAGATAAGTTTGTTATATGCAGGAGAGAAATGTAGCATTAGAATCTGAGATGATGAATGGTAGAATTTGATGATGAGGTGGTTGTAAGTTGCAGAAAGAAGATAATGATAAGTTCTTATTGAAGCTCAAGAATCGAATGATGTGTAAGAATTATCCTAATACTTTTCCGTTCTTATCATGTGTATAGTAGTTTTTGCTTATGAAAATGCAAATTTTATAGATTTTGTATAACGGGTTTTCTTACTTTTGCAAGCTTTCTTGATGTGTGCAAAAAGGCTTTGCATTAGTTCATTGATGCTTTGTGTTTGTATTTATAAAAAAAAATTGATGCTTTGTTTGCATTTTCATCATGTTGATTTGTTTGTGTATGTGCATATTCATAATCATCTTATGATTTGTCAAATAAATGTTTTTTTTTTTTTTTTTTTGGTGGTCTATGAGATATATTTTAGCTTGCAAAATCCAATGAACTGCAATTGTGATGTTTTGATTTAATAATTTGTCAGAGCTTTCGTTATAAGGATTTTCCTTTAATGAAAAATATACTTGCTCCTACTTATTCTTCAGCTGTGACTTTGCTCACTGATATGGAAATGGTTATCTGATATTTTCTTTTGGAATTGGAATTGTGTGAGTTGTTTTGAGCAGTTGGTTAAGTGGTTTTCAATTAAATCAGCTGGTAATAATTTGAGAAGCAAGGTTATGAAACAGATTTTTACCACTACTATTTGGCATATGTGGTGGTCTAGAAATAGAAGACTCCATGTTGATGTTTCCTCTGCTCCTACCCAAGCTGCTAAACAAGTTATGTGGAATGTATCTGATTCTTTGGGATTGCAGCTGCAGGATTTATTGGTCTTCTTAATTGTTGACCGTTGGTCGTTCTGCATCTGGGGCTGTGTGTGCAGGGTTCTGGCTTTGAATAAGAAATTGCAGTGCTGTGGTTCAGGTGGTTGTGGCCCTTGTCTTATTTGCTGGGATCATGGTGTTTTTGTTTTTGTTAATCCTTTCTCTTTTTCTGAATTTTTTGTTTGCATTTTCATTGATGTTGATTTGTTTGTGTATGTGCATATTCATAATCATCTTATGATTTGTCAAATAAATGTTTTTTTGTTTTTTTTTTGGTGGTCTATGAGATATATTTTAGCTTGCAAAATCCAATGAACTGCAATTGTGATGTTTTGATTTAATAATTGCTGAAAGAACATTATTTGTTTCTAATTGCTCTGCGTTTATGCTACAATAGTACTTCCACAGTTCTGATTGATTATGGATGTTTCTCATATTCGTATAATGTTTTAAAACTGGTTAAATACCTATTAATGTTTCTGTAATTTTGTGCCTTGGTTTACTTAGTGATGTTATTTTTTTTTAGGTGCTTAAGATGTGAAATATCTTTCTTTGTCATTTCTTCAGCATAATCCATGGAGATTGGCTGCTGTAGGAGTTCACTATTTGTATCAGCTAGGATCAACTCTTTAGTACGTTGTGTTCTTCTTCTTCTAGTTTGTATACTCTTCCCCCTCCTTGCTTAGCTATGAACCATAAAAGCATTTTTTCAAACATGAACTTGTGTTATTACAGAATCTTGGTGAAGATACATTGGTCGGAGTGTATTCGTTTTTATGTTTTTTTTTTCTTTCTTTTTTCTCTTTTCATCATTTGTCATGGTATGTTCTTGTAAGTTGATAGTAGTTATTTCTTCGCTTGGATTAGAAAAGTTTTTTATTGGGGTTGTTGGGGGGTTGATGATAGCGTGGAAGCTAGATTACACATGTATCAGGAAGTTTTCTCCAAGTTTCAGTAACCATCATCTACGTTTTAATCCTCTGCTGATAAGACTATCTGTTTTATCCCTATAGTTCATATTCTATTAGAGACCTAAACACAAATTACATTCTTTCGGTAAATCCTGAAATCTTTCCATCTTCATGTCCTTCATTTGAAAAAATATTGCATCAATTTTGGCTATATTTTGAGTATTTCACCTTTGCATTTAGTTCATGCATACTGCCATGAATTATTGGAGGCCCATGAATACTGCATGAAGTCTAAGAGAACAGGAAAAGATGCTGAACTTACTCTCGGGTATTAGTAATTTGTCTGCTTAAAGGTAAAGGTCTAGTTTTCCATCTTAATTAGTTGAATTATTTCCATTTCTCATCACAAAGGAATTGTCATATTTTTCTTACTGTTTTCTTCTTATGTTTTAAATGCTCAGGGATCCTTTTGCTGAAAATGGGAGAAAAGTGCTAATTATGAAAAGGAACCAAGGTCATTTCCTTGTTAATGGATGTTCAGGCTTTGTGATTTTCCTTTAAATGCTCAGGGATTCTTACTGTTTTCTTCTTATTTTTTAAATGCTCAGGGATCCTTTTGATGAAAATGGGATGATAGATGAAAAGTGCTAATTATGAAAAGGAACCAAGGTCATTTCCTTGTTAATGTATGTTCAGGTTTTGTGATTTTCCTTTATGTAACAACCTAGTAATACTGTCATTTAAATGATGCTTTTGTTTTATTTCTCTATTGTAGGAAGTATTTTGTTTTGTTTGATTTAAATATTGTGAAACATGGAGTTCATTTGAAGTAACCAACTTAACTAAGTTTGTTTTGTAGTTTATCTTTTTTCTCCTATTGATTGTATGTAAACAAGTTAAATAAGTTTGTATTATCATTTTTTTCTCTTTTTGTTTCAATAATGGTTTGTGTTGAGAAAATCAAGGTGAACACCAAGAAAGTAAAAAGTTAATGCTGTTTACCATTTTTAGGATTAATTGCATAAAACCCCTGAACTATTCTCTCTCAAAAAATTCTTCTGAACTATTATTTGTGCAGTTAACTTTCTAAATTGTCCCATTTCTTTGCGAATACCCCGACTGTTAAAGTTCCATGGAGTGTTAACATTAAAGTGTGTCAGTCACGTGACCTAAGCATAAACTTTAAATGACAAAATTAACCTTTTTAGTGTTACTATGTTTAATGAGTTCTAACCCTAAATTGTATCAGACTTCTTTACCTTCCTCGCCACCATTCGATCAATCTGGAGGTTACTTTCCTCGCCACCTTCGATCTGGGTTTGTGGTTACATGACCTCTTCATTGTCTTCTTGCTTTGAATCCTGCTCTCAATACCATGCTTGCTGGACTTAAAGACAGTATGTCTAATATATATATGTATATATATATATATAGATTTGATCTTTAATCAAACATGCAATTGCATTTGTGTGATAGAGATGTGTTGGATCTGAAGAGATTTTGTTCACAGACCCTAACCGAATAGAAGTCCCAGCTGCTTTGTTCTCTCCATCTCCATCTCCATCTCCATCTCCATCTCCATCTCTATTTCTATCAATTTTAAATCCTAAATTGAGGGGTGACTGAACGGGGGAAAGTAAAATAACAGAACTGAATTTCTCAACATTCAGCTCTCTCTATTCATCTCCATCTCTATCTATCAATTTTGTTGAGGTTGGTGTTTGGAGAGGGATTGATTGAAAGAACAGCACAAAAAAACCGCAAAGGTTGTGTCTGAGACCGAATCATTGTAAATTGTGAAAATCAGAGATTGATAAATTAGGGTTTAAATTGGTCGATTTCTAGGGTTCAATTTTGGTCTTGATGAGAATTGGAGAGGAAATTACTGATTCACTTCTCAACTTTTCGATTTGTATACACACATCAAATGGACAAATTTTTAGGGTTTCAATTTGCAGAGGTCAGTGTTGAAGCCTTTTCAATTTGTATGATTAGAGAGAAACTCCTGGGAGAGAGAGAGAGAGAGAGAAGAGAGTATCTTGTAAGAGAGAGAAGATGGCGGCGGCGGGGATAGAAAGGGAAGGTGGCCATTGATGGATGGACATTACTGCCGAAGGAAGAAGAATCTTATCTTATGTATGTACATATATGGGGAAAGCTAAGCTTTGTCCCAAGTTTTGTTGGACAAAAAAGGTCACATTGGTACATAACACATCATAAAAATATGGGTATAAATGTAATTTTAAACATAATGAAAAAGGAAGAAAATTAGATGGAAGGAAGGAGAAGGGATGATTGAGAAGAAAGGATGATTGAGAAATCCTAGAAAAGAGACCGTGTTTATTCCCTCTTTTTATTTGGTTGGATGAAAGAGAAGAGAATAATTATTAATTTACTTTGGTCGGTAGGATAAAAGGTAGGAGAGGGTTTTTTTTTTTTTCATTAAACCCGTCAAATTTAAAACTTCTTAATAGGCCCAATTATCCCCCTCCTCTCTTTTGTTCATATTTCATGGGATGAAAATTTGTGAAAAAGGAAGGATGGTGTATCCATCTTATTATCTTTTCTTTTCTTGTCGCATCTCTACCAAACAAAAACAAAAGAATTTTGTTCCTTCTTTTCTATTTTCCTTCCACCTCTCTTCCTTTCCATCGAACAAAGCATAAGCCCCAACCTACACCTTGAATCACACTAGACCTCGTTCTCTCCTAAGATCCCGAATCACAAGCCTTATTGTCTCTCTATCTTACCAACAGTCCACCACCAAATCACCTTCGGTTATGAGGTGTTGGTGAGGGAGGTTGGCAATGGGGATGGTGGTTGTGGTGGTTGTAGAGATTGGTGGTTCATTCGCCTGAATTCACAGCGACGCCCCAGTAAGCAAAGTGATCTTAAGATTAATAAGTCCATTATTTTATTAGGATGTGAGGATAATGGAGGTTGGATTTGACTGAAATCGGAACCTAGGGCTTACTGTGCTTATTGGGGCGTCAGTTGGGGAATAAGAAGAGACCTAGCACAGCGACAGCCACGCGCTATTTAGGCTGGGGATACCAAAGACGGCATGGGCCGGATTCAACCCATATAATGAAGAATGGGCCTGGTAAATGACCTAGGCCCAAATCAAGCTGCCACCAATCAAGCCCAATGCTGAAGAGTGAAGTTAGAGGCCCTTAAAGGTGATTAGGCCTATAGTTATAAAAGCCTCAAGGACGAGCTCAATAGAGGAAGTTAGTTAAGAATCTTCTAGAACACTGTAAACAATCTATAAGTGGACAAAAATAAAGGAGAGATGAGAAAAAAATATTTGAAGTGTAATAAAACTCTGTCAATTTAGAGAGAAAAAATTTCTTACATCTTCAATGGCGCCGTCTGTGGGAATCGATGAGAATTCATTGATGTTTCGCTCAGATTGATTTGATCTAGTAGTGTAATGCATGAAGACGAAGCCTGATCGTTGAAGGCAGAATCATGGTCGGTGAAATCGTGATCGGAGAAGTCGGCGTTCGATCTACGCAGTTTTGATTTGTGCTTGTTTTGGAGAGCTGTGCGGTCGAAAGTTGCTAAGATTGCTGAATTTGGCAGATTCGTCGCCGGAGCAACTCAGATCTGGTTAATCGCGATCGAAATTCAACTGAGCTAGAATCCAGATCTAGAGCGTCTGCATTAGCAAAGCTCAGATCTGATCAGAAATTCGCGGTTAATGACTTTGCTACGATCCGGAATGATGATCGGAGGAGAGAGTTCGAATCCCGTGGAGAATGGCCAGCAGATGAAGCGTGATGAACATGATCGAGGCTCTGAGAAAAGAAGATGCAGAGTTGAGAGCTGGAATGGAACACCGAGAGGTTCCGGTTGCGCTGTGACCGCCTCCGGTGGGTGAAAGAGGCGTGCGACCCGATAAAGCACATCAAGGCGAGCAAGAGGAAGATAACCACGTTGATCTCCACCACGAGGAGGTTAGGATGGAGAATTTACCGCCAAACGCTCGTCGAGCTGAGGATCGAGAAGGATCTGTACATCTCGATCCACATCGTGAGCATATCCGGCGGGAAGAAAATACAGCTTTTAATCCGCATCAGGAAAGGCATAATCGCGAACAGGATATGGAGTTTGATTGTCATAAGATTAACTCACCGTGGCAGAAAAAGTTCACTAAGGAAAGGTCATTCGATCCACCTTATCGGCCTTCAATGGCTACATATGATTATAGGAGTTCGGAAAGAAGATCTACAGATCAAAGAGTCGTCACGAGGTTTGAAAAAGAGAATGAGGCCCTCCGTTCGGCAGCGCAGATGGTTGATTCGCCGTTTACTAACGAGATCCTGAATGCTCCAAGCCTGAGGAAGTTTTCTATGCCTGCTTTCATTCTGTTCGACAGAACGACCGATCCAATTGATCATGTATACCACATTCAGTTGAAGATGGCACTGAAGATAGAGAATAATCCTTTGATGTGCAAATGTTTTCCTACAAGCTTAGCCGGACCAGCGCTCAACTGGTTCAAGAACCTGCCAAGGGGCTCAGTGGACAGTTTCCGTAGTTTGTGTGATCGGTTCATAGGCCAGTACTATGGGAATAAGCGCCCGGCAAAAGATATCTCTAGTTTGTTCACCATGAAACAGCATGATGATGAACGTCTCCAAGCTTTTCTTACCAGGTTTAACCTAACCAAAAGCATGGTGATAGAGTGTCATCCTTCCGCAGCAGTTCAAACGTTCAAGTTAGCAATGACCCGAGGGACACCGTTCTATACCAGTCTGGTGGTGAACACGCCGAAGACAATGGACGAGCTAAATGAGAGAGCTGATGGTTTTGTGCGCCTAGAAGAGGAAGAAGCAGCTAATGCTGGGAAGACATCTATCATCTCCACGGAAGAGAAGTCCAAAGTGAAGATACGACAGAAGCAAGTTCCTACGCAGTGTCAGACCTCCTGGAAGGCAGAGAAAGGACCTAGGGAGGATGTTTTGGTTACTCCATTCAAAGTTACACTGGCAAGGCTGTACCAAGAGAACAAAGATAAGTTTCACCCTCCCTTGCCAATTAGACAACCTCTTGAGCAGAGGGATCAATCTAAACATTGTGCTTTTCATTGTGATTTTGGTCATCAGACTAATGAATGCAGAAACTTAAGGAGACAAGTGGAGATGCTGATCGCTAGGGGAGAGTTTGCAAGATACGTGCAAGGGCCAGCACAGGAGCAGAGTTGACCGGCAGAACAAGTCAAAAGAACCCAAAAGCCGAACCATCATAATGCTCAGCCCGTTCGGATAATAAATGCAATTCATTGCCGACTTGAGCAGACAACTGAGTCCGAGGAGTTGCTCCGAACGCGTCTTCGTCAAGCACAACTGAAGAGGAGAATAGGCAGTGTGCACGCTCTGCATCAACAGCATGTATCAACACAGATAAGATTTGATAAAACAGACATGATGCGAGTTCAGATTCCTCATGAAGACCCCCTGGTCGTTAGTTTGACAGTGGCAGAGTGTTTGGTACGAAGGGTGCTGATTGATCCAGGGAGCAGTGCCAATATCATGCCTAGAGTCACCTTCGATCGGCTGGAAATCAAGCCAGATGAACTCAAATGTACTGAGAATCCGTTGTTGGGATTTGATGGAAAATGAGTTGAACCGATCGGCACAGTAGAGTTGCTGGTCCGGGCAGCCGAAAGGGAGCTTGTCGAAAGCTTTGTGGTGGTAGAGATCCATCTCTCTTACAATCTGTTGATGGGGAGAGGGTGGATCCATAGGGTACAGGGAGTCCCATCGACACTGCACCAAGTGATGAGATGCCTGAGCCCGGACGGGAGCAAAGTGATTGAGATCCATGGGGATCGGGTTGCAGCAAAGGAATGTTACTCGGTGACTCTGAAAGCTGCAGGGAAGGGCAAAACTCCCATCCGATCTGTTAGCACACAACAGCAATTACAGGAACCTCCCCCCAATACAAAAGGGGAGGAAGAGCTTCCAATGCTAACCGAGGAGCCCCTAATTGAAGTTCAAAATGATCATTTGAGGCCAGATCGAACCACAAAGGTAGGTTAAGGCCTTGCCGAAGAAGAAAAATTCCAGTTGATTGATTTTCTTTCCCAGAACGCAGATGTATTCACTTGGAGCCATTCGAACATACCGGGGATCGACCCCTCTGTCTCTTGTCACTCCCTTACTATAGATTTGAGCGTCAAACCTGTGAGGCAGAAGCAGAGAAAGTTCTCCCCAGAACGCAATCAGATCATTACAGACGAAGTTAATCGATTGTTGGAGGCTGGGTTCATTAGAGAAGTACAGTACCCGGACTGGTTATCGAACGTGGTTGTAGTGCAAAAAAAGAATGGAAAATGGAGAGCTTGCATTGATTTCACTAATCTGAACAAAGCCTGCCCGAAGGATAGTTTTTCACTTCCAAAAATTGATCAAATGGTGGATGCAACAACCGGGTACGAGCGGCTGACCTTTCTGGATGCATATTCAGGCTACAATCAAATCCCAATGGATCCAAGCGATGAGGAAAAGACCTCTTTTGTCACCGAACGAGGGATCTATTGCTACAAGGTTATGTTGTTCGGACTTAAGAATGCCGGAGCCACGTACCAGAGGTTGGTTAGCAAGATTTTTAAGGATCAAATGGGCAGGACTGTAGAGGCTTACATCGATGACATGGTGGTCAAAAACAGACAGAAGGACCATCACTTACAGCATTTACAGGAAGTGTTCGGTGTGTTAAGAAAGTATGGAATAAGGCTGAATCCAACTAAATGCTCGTTTGGCGTGGGATCTGGGCAATTCCTTAGCCACGTGGTCAACAACAGAGGAATTGAGGTTAGTCTAGCCCAAGCGGAAGCTTTGTTAAAAAATGATGAACCAAGTACTATCAAAGAGGTCCAAGCTCTCGCCGAACACATAGCGGCACTGAGTCGATTCATTTCTAAGTTATCCGACCGATGTAAACCATTCTTCGATACAATCAGGTTTCATGGAAAACGTCCTAGGGGGATGAGCAAAGGCAAGCACTGATCAAGCTGAAAGAATATATGCGGAACCCACCAGTCCTGAGCGCCCCAGTGCCAGGCGAAAAGCTTTTCCTGTACCTTGGAGTCTCTAACATTGCGACCAGTAGTGTGCTGATACGATGTGCCGAGGGTAAGCAATTCCCGGTTTTCTATGTAAGCAAAACGTTGACCGAGCCAGAGAGAAGGTATTTGAAGGCCGAACGAGTAATCTTATCCTTGGTAAACGCAAAGAGGAAGCTTGAGCATTACTTCGAGTCTCATCCTATAGTCGTCCTAACCACATTTCCTATAAGGGTGATCCTGCATAAGCCTGATTTGTCCGGACGAATGACGAAGTGGGCAATAGATCTTAGTTCTTTCGACATAACTTATGAACCCCGAACGGCTATTAAAGGGCAAGCTGTGGCTGATTTTTCACTGGAATGTGATGTAGATGAGCCAGATGAATGCCTTGAAGAATCTTCATGGAAGCTTTTCGTTGATGGCTCCTCAAATCAGATGGGGGCAGGAATCGGGATCAAGTTACAAACACCAGAAGGCACTACGCTAAGCCAAGCGATCAGGCTTGAGTTCAGAGCAACCAACAATGAAGCAGAGTATGAAGTGCTGCTGGCTGGCTTAAGGTTGGCCAAGAAGCTAAAGGTCAAAATTTTAGTTGCCTTCAGTGATTCGCAGTTAATAATTCGGCAAGTGACTGGGGAATATTGAATAAAGGATGAGACAATGGAGGCATACCGCTCCGTTGTTATGCAAGAAGCTAGAAGCTTCGATCGGATCAAGTTCATTCAATTGCCGAGGGAGCGTAATGAAGATGCTGATCAGTTAGCATGCAATGCGTCGAACCACTGATCCACCAACCACCAAAAGATTTGCACGTAATGGCCAAACCATGGCTTTTCGCGCAATAGGGGATGGATGTGTATGGCCCATTACCGACCGCCAGATCGCAAAATAAGTACATCCTGCTTGCAACAGACTACTTTACCAAATGGGTGGAGGCAGAACTGTATCCTAGTGTGACTCAGACTCATGTGAGACGCTTCATCTGGAATAATATCATTTGCCGATTTAGGATGCCGAGGTCAATCGTCATGGATAATGGGACTAATCTTGATAGGAAGCAAGTGAGAGAGTTGCTAGAAGAATATGGAATTAATCAAAAGTTAGCAGCAGTCAACCATCCACAGGCGAATGGTCAGGCTGAGATCACAAATAGAATGATCTTTGCTTGCATAAAGAAGAAGCTGGAAGAAGAGAAAGGGAAGTGGTTGGATGAACTCCCGAATGTCCAGTGGCCATATAAAACAACTCTGAGACGACCGACCGGAGAAAGCCCATTCGCCATGGCATATGGTACTGAGGCGGTAATACCAGTTGAGCATCAAGTTCCCACTGTTCAGAGCTTAGCATGGAATCAAGAGCAGAATGATCACATGTTGGAATTCAACCTCAAGCTGCTTGAAGAGAAGAGGAATGCAGCAGCAATAAGGCTCGCGTCATACCAACAGACGGTTATGAACAGTCATAACAAAAAGGTGAGGCATAGGGACTTTGCACCTGATGATTTGGTTCTAAAAAGAAAAGTTGGAATTATCAAGAAAATGAAGTCACCATTGTAACGTTTCTGATTTTCAGCATTTTTCATTTTTCCAGAGATTCTATCGCCGCAAGGGCATTTTCGTCTTTTCACGTCTTGCGTGCGAGGATTGTAGTAGAGCCCAATTGCATTTGTGCATTTTAATTTATGTGGGTTAAGTGGTATTTGTATGTGGTGCATTTATGTGTATGAGGTGTAAAATGAAATAATAAAGAAAAAGGGAAAAGAAAATAAAATTGTGGGGCCCCCACTCACACCTCTAAGTGGTCTAGAGACCATAATTCTCACCTATTTTTCACTCTCCCCATGGCTTTTCTCTCTCTCTCATTTCCTCTTCCTTTTTCTTTCAAATTGAGAAGCAAGCTTTGGATCTTGATTACTCACTCAATTCTTGGAAGTTTGAAGTGCCGTTTGAGGCAAATCGAAGCCCATGGCAAGGCCTACGTATCCATACCAACAATTTTAGATTTGGAGCTTCCTCGCATTTTCGAAATTCTTGGCCTATTTTAAGGGATTTGCTCAAAATCAAGGTAGGGGCTCTTAATCCATAAGTTCTTATGCTTTTGTGAGTTAATCTCTCTTAAATGATTTTTTGGTATGCTCAATTTGTATAGTTTCTAGCCAATTGATTAGTTGTGATGTATACTTATCAATTTTGTGCAATAATGTGTGATAAATGGTCTATGTGAAGAGCATGCCTATATGTTGATTCTTTACATGCCTATTATGCTAGATGATATTGTATGAAAGCATGTTGTAGCTTTCTTGGAAATTCTCATGAATTGTGTTTTGCTAGTTCAATTTGAGTTAATTGTGAAATGATGAACATTGACATGATATAATGCATTTATGCATTTACATTGGGCAAGAAATGGGAAGAATTGATTGAAGAATTGATTTTGAAATGAAAAGGGGGAGTTTTGGGATAGAATGTATTGATGAAAGTGTTTTGATAAAACCCGGTCGCTACGGAGTCACCAACGGGCCGGTAGGTTAATGTAACCTGGAGGGAATTAGGGAGATTGTCCTAGCGTGGTTGAGCTATCTAGGCCCCATAATGACGCTGCGAAGTCACCAAAGGTCAGGGACAGTAGCCAATCCTTCCATCGGTGCTGCAGAGTCACCAAAGGGGGTTACATTAACAGTTTGAAAGAGATGGTTTTGTGAAAAGAAAATGGGGAGCGACATTGGCATGCATTTGCATTCCATGGCATTGCATTATTTGTATTAGTGTTTGGTTGGAACGTTGTATTACCCCGACATTGTATGATCCCTACTTCCATTGATCTATTCTATGTTTGGATTCACGGGGACACAAGAGACGTGTCTTAAGTGTCACCTACTGAGCATATTGCTCACCCCATCATATTCTACATTTTTCAGGTCATGGAAAAGAAGTAGCCGAGGGTAATCCCACTCAGACTTAGCTTGGAGTAGGAAATGTCTTTTTGCTAGTTTTTGTAGTTGGACTTAATTTTGTAAAGATGTAGAATCAAAATGCATCATTTTTTTTGCAACATGTAAAATATTTGGATTTATTATGTACATGGCCATTGGGTAATGTAATTAAGTTTTACTCACTCAAAATCAGTTTGTCATGG